GGGTGGAAAAAGTCCGTGATAGGGCCCCACTTTATCACCCTACCTTTTAATCACTAAGTAGAGAGGGGTCGAAAATAGTAGGGTTCCCCCCCAAGCGATTTTGAAAGCCACGTCCACAAATCAGAGGATGGCAGAGATACACGACCGATCCAGACTCACACCTCATGAACCATGACTACAGCAGCCTCACGACTGGAGGAAACCCATTACATAGGTAATTCTAGGCAGAAGCCCAGAATCAGCCTCCTATTTACCATCACAACGAATACTGTCTTTGTTTAGTGATCCCATGATGTGTGCACAGCCGTGAGGTGTGCCCATAAGGAACTGAATGACGTCTGAGAGGTTGAGAACTTTCATGAACGATGTACAATTCAGGTCGGGACAAGAGATAAGGATCAAGCTTAATACCTGAATAAGAAGGCGCCACGATTCCTTCAAAACGCCAAAGTGGATAAAGGGTTGGAGTAGCATTCATCCAATGAGATGCTCTGTAGTGGTACCAGTCGTAACCCACATAGCCAGCTATCACCTCTTATCTTGTCAATGCGCAACTTTACTCCGAGATCACGATAATTAAGATTCGTCAAGGGAAAACGTAAAATAGAATTGCGAGCAGCGTGACAAAGCAAAGGACATATGCAGAGGGTATTACTTCTTTCCATCAAACTTCTACAGCGGCTATTTCCGCGTGCTGCAGAAGGTCACTTGTAAAGGCGAATGGCCTTGGGCAAAATGCACATGTGGAATCAAAGCTGGAACCATAAATGGAATAGCTCCCTGCTTGGCAATATTCAAATGCTGGCTGATTGACTGTCTCAGGAGCCATTTCAAAGACACATGCTCCAGCTGAAAGATGCAACAACATCGCGGAATGTCTGGAAAAGCGAGAAGGGCACCCCAGGCAGAGAATGATTTTCTTGGCGTGGATTATCATGTGCTTGTTTCTGTTACTTCGGACACATCTACATATTATAGATATCATGAGCTAGAAAAGACTAACACTGTCTCGATTTGCCGCATTAGCTAAGTACTGCTGACACGTCATGTACACATATTGTGTTTTGCGACAGCCGGCTGATGAGAATATTAAAAGTGTTATTGCAAGGCACGCACCTATTGTGCTCGTTTCGTGGATGCTCATCTAGTTCATCCCCTGTCGCGTAATCAGGAGAAGATGAGCAAATATGGCGAATATTGTGGTTAAGGGAGTCTCTGAGATATCTGAGATGCTGCTGCTTGGCTGAAGCACAGAATAAGGTTTTGTGGCATCGGCAGCAGTAAGACGAGAACTCGTTTGTGTAACTTAGGTGATCCTTTCGAATTCTAAATTCAAGGCGACTCGGGGATTTCAGTATCTTCTGCGGCGCATTGATCACGGGCTGGACCGGCCCGGGACCCGCGAGCTTAAGGTCAAATTGGACCTGCAGCTGCGTGGGCCAAGCCATGCCCGGATCAGGTGAAAATATAATCCGAAATGGCTCTGGGTGACCATTTCATTTCAGGGGATGTACCGCCGTTCTCCCATTACGACGTGGCCACATTATCTGGATAGTAATTCGACCGTCCCGGTCTACCCCAGGCGGACTGCTGATGAGTAGGATCTTCTTTTCTCGCACACAGAGAGCCCATTCTTGACAAGTGGTCATGCAGATAGGTTCTTCAATGTGTGATATTACCTGATAACCAACGCCTTATCTTTAACGCCTGGAGCATAGACTGAGCCAACGTGCTTTGCCTAGGTAGTTCAGAATCCACTGGAAACTGTACTGACAATCTCCTTTTCCCTTTCCGGCTGTTTAGCCTGGTTAGGGGCAAGGAAACATGATCACCTTTGCCTGCAGGACTATCAATATTCTGGTTGATGGCGTCGAGATTCATTCTCTCACTTGGCTGTCAAATGCATATACAGGAGTAGCATGAATAAGTAAAGAAGGTGAAGCTGTGACAACATCCACTGTGTCGAGTGTTACCAAGCAACCTAATACATAGATAAGAGCATCCATGAAAAGCGACTGCTCTTAGACAAAGGCATACATGCAGCGCTTGTCTGATTAAACGGGCCGGCTGAGTTCGACCCTTCGAAACGTGACGACTCAAATCGATTTCGGCGAGGTGGTACTGTGACTTTTACAGTTTCGTCGGGGCTCTATTGAAAGCATCAGTGTTGGGAAGAAGTTTGATATCAGGTCAAAATTCCCCGTTGAATTGAGGATCCGTCATGGACAGAGGGGGTTGGCTGCCATTCGTAGAATAAAATGGGTTCCACCCAAACTATGCGATGAACTATCACCCGCATGTCAGTATTTTGGTGCAGCTTCAGATCTTGATAGGTGCTGAAACTTGCGCGATGCTAAGAGGAGACTGGGAAGAGGAAGAGTGGATGGATGAATTGAGGGGTCGCTGCCTGAAATTTTCCACAAAACTGTCAGGTAAGAGACAAATCCTCTATCCCAAGGTATCTCACTCTTCACGAACCCTCCTATTGACTTTCTTTCTTCAACAAGTGTTGCCGAACCAAACTGCTCGGCCGCAGAGCCCGAGTGAAATCGCAACCAGACGCAATCGTGTCAAGTATTTGCCATGCTACCAAGGGCTCTACTCTGAGCAACTGGGCAGCAAACATAACTGTGTCCAGTCTATTATTTCGGAATCAGTACCGGCGATGCCGTCATACAGAGAGCCTTATAAAGCCCTGCTCACCAGCGGTCTAAGCGAAATTTGTAACGACATGACCTCATCTTGCGCAAATGTCTCGTTTACAGCAAAAAGGCTGGCCCGACTCCGTAGGCTGAAAAAACAAGGCCGCAATAAAGGAAGCCGCAAGTGATACAGTAGGATTCACCAAGAAGCTGCTCAAAGTCACTGCGCCCGGCAAAGGCACACAGTTCGCGAAGACTATCTAAGAGGGAGCAAATTGTCTCCTCAAGAGTGTAAGGAGTGTGGGTGGGGGACGACTCCCGTATGAGCTGGACCTCGAACGAGCTCGGGTCGCATTCCTCGGGATCACAATGAATATCGAAACACTACTCATGGATCTCCTAGTAGAAAAGGAAGGGCGCTACATGCTTTGGGGCGAGAAGAAATGATATCAAGTGGAATGGAGAGAATGACATTGGTCTCAGCTATCCAGCAAGCTGCGTAACCCTTGTCAAGCGTCAGCGGTACGGGGATAGGAAACGAATATAGGGCGGCGTGGTTTTTTTTGGATCAGTAACACGACTCTATAATACGCCTTACTTCCGTTTAGCAGTATTCGATGCCCAGCAATAAACATAGTGAGAGAAAAGGATAGTACTAACCATGCCTGCGCGCATCCATAGGAAAGGACTTGCATTTGGCTGTATAAGATTATTTTTCTCCAGTTACGTCTTAAGATCGAGCTTCCCCCTCTATTAGGGTTCTAGGACTCTATATGCATTACTTCTATTAAATGTATCAACTCTGCTGGATGGGCGCTTCCTCTATTCATTATTTTTTGAGGAAAGGTCTGAAAAGAGGGTTGGTATCGAGATCAGAAGCTTCCACATGACTAGAGAACTGAAATTAGTTCTAATAGATGGTCTACTAATGAGATTTGCCTTCACTGGCTTAGGAATCTCTCTATTCCTGCTACTACTGGCTGTATAACTAGGAATTACTGTCTCCTAGTTCTTGATAGGCATGGCAGCCATCTCACGCCCTAATCTGGTCACATATGCAGTGAGAATCATATTATTCCTAACTGCATGCCAGCGCATTCTTCCCACAAGCTCCAGCCTTTAGATGTAGGCTGTTTTGCGCCTTTGGAAAAAGTGTACGGGTACTTAGGAAAAAAGAAAATATGCTTAGGAATGAATTATATTTGATAAGCTTAAATTTCTAGAGGCCTTTCTAAAAGCTCATGAGAGTGCTTTTAAAGCAGAGACTATTCAGAATAGCTTGTAGGCGCTGGCCTAGTTCCATTTAATCTAGATAGGGTGCTCAGTTAGTTAAATAATCAACTAAAGACCCCTACACTACCACCTAGTCGCTCCACAATTCAGCGCCTAAAACGCCCTATACTTCTAGGCAGCTAGAGAAGCAGGCATTTGCAGTAAGTTTAGAATGTGTACACAGAGCCTTCATCTTCACTAGAAACGCGATTAGATAAGCCTAAGGGTCGAATTGCATCTTAATGAGCTTATCTTGCACGCGAAGAATTAGACACTTCTAGCCGGAAGCAGCTTTAAAAACGAAAGGGTTCTGCTAGGCAGCTAGCTACTGCAGAGGGATGTACCATTCAAAAAGGCCTAGAGTGATTCCAGTGTGAGAATGAGGTTCATGAAGCTCAGGATACTATCACTATAGATCCAGCGCTTTCTGCAGTCAGATCATGCATATGAGCGCCACCGCACTGCAGTGACTATCATTATCTAGGATACAGGCGAATGCAATGTCCTAGTCGAGTTCTTTATTAGTTTTTATATAGAAATGTAATTGTTTGGTTAATAAAGGCCCCTAAGATCTTGCCCAGAGGTGGAATTGGGAGTGGTGGCGGCGACTCGCTTGTGGTGGCGGCTCGCTTGGGGAATACGTTATCTAATACGTACTTTGAACTTCTATGGAGTAGGTCCAACCAATTCTTGAGTTAAAGTTGTTTTGCCGAAGCCCTCATAATCAAATCTTTTGGCCCCACATAGCCGGAGTCAGCACTTCGGAGTTACGGCTGTATCGGTTTTAAGAGCATAGCTAAGCTCAAACATGTCAGCAATTAGTATCAGATGGCTATCAGCACTCTATAATTTCCCGAACATTAGCAGATGATTGGTCAATTGTATCCATTGTATGATATCACAGCATAGTCTACCTACTCGCAGATCTCTATCCACCGCAATAATGAGCCGTTCGCAACAAGGTATATATTCATGTGTCGCCGCAACCAACATCAAGAGAAAGCGAGTAAATCAAAGTTGTCAATCAACTGTAGCACCTTAAACCATTTCTCTCAAAAAGCAAGCATATTTCTTTCAGGAGCAAAGATGGTCAAAACACTCCCCTTCAGCGATATCCAAGTGCCTTCCCCCGGCTTCGGTGCCATGGGCTTGAGCTTCGGCTTGGGCACCAATCTCTCACTCGAGCAAGCGGAGCCTGTCCTTCTGAAAGCGATTGAACTAGGATGTACCTTCTGGGATACCGCTGTGAGTGTCAGTCCTCCAACTCCAGGACACAATGTCTAACATGTCAAGCAAAGGTCGTCTACCAAGCTGGTGTGAACGAAAAGCTTCTCGGGGATTTCATCCGGAAACACAATGTCCGAGATAAACTTTTCAGTGAGTTATTCTTGTCGTCTGTCTAGTTTGGCATTAGCTAACAGAGCGGTTAGTTGCGTCAAAATGCGGTTTTGACGTCTTTGGCGACGGTTCCGTCACCAATTCCGCTGCTCACATCAAGAAGTATATCGATGGTACCATCGAGCAACTTGGCTTCGCGCCCGACCTCTACTACTTGCACCGAATCGATCCTAGTACGTTATTCCCAGGCTTCAAACCTGTTATATACTAATGAGGTCAGAAACACCACTCGAGGAGTCGATCCCCGCCCTCGATGAAATTCGCAAGACCGGCAAGACCAAGTATATTGGTCTCTCGGAGTGTTCGGCTGCGACACTGCGCAAGGCCAACTCAAGTGAGATTCCCGTTTCTTTGTCGTACTACCTTTCTAACAGGTGGCAGTCGCCAAGATCGATGCCGTGCAAGCGGAGTATTCTGCATTCGAGACCATCCATGAGACTGATGGTCTCATTGACGCATGCAGAGAGCTAGGAGTAGCTTATGTCGCGTACAGCCCTCTAGGACACGGCTGGCTTGTCGACGACTTCCAGTACAAGACTCCTGATGACTTTGCCCCGGATGATTTCCGCCGGAAAAGTACGTTATCCTGACAGAGCTGAATAGACAATATATACATTTGCTAATGTTGATGACCTAGGCCCCAAATTCCAAGGGGAAAACTTCTACAAGAACAAGGCAATCGTGGAAGAGATCCAAAAGCTTGCTGCTCGGAAGAATTGCACGACCAGTCAGATAGCACTGGCCTGGGTCGCAGCGCAGGGCTTCATTGCTATTCCCGGTACGACCAAGGCTAATCGACTAGAGCAGAACTGGGCGTCCAGGGAGATTGATTTGACCGAGGAGGAAAAGCAAGAGATGCGGAGAATCATTGACGTGGCGAAGCCGCATGGGAACAGGTACGGGCCTGAGCATCAGGCCATGGTGGGACATTGATTTCCGGTGAGGTCCAAAAGTGAGAGCATTTCAGCAGTTTTTATAGCTTTGGCATAGAGCAGCAGCTCAGTTACACTTACCTCAGCCAATGTACTGCTGTTATCTCATCTTTGTATATGTTTGAACATCCCTCCGAGTGGTTCTATGTAGCTTTGCGAGCACAGCAACACTGTTCGCTCTATTTGCGTGTTCCAAAGAAGCCTCATAACAGCTGGACTACTTTGGTGCTTCGCAACAGAATACCTTCATCATGAGGTTATCAAGTCTACGCTTGTCTACCTACTAAGAAATCCAATGGAATGTTGCTTGACGCCATTGAATCCATTGGAGTAGATCTCTTGAAGCACAATAGAGGTGTCTACTACTCTTTGTAGAGATGGTGACCTGACAGCGTCAACACCCGAGGCAAAATGAACAGTAGAAATTCAAATTGGAAGCTTGTCGCCTTGGTCGTATGCTCTGAGTCGTTGTACATCCAACAATTGCCTCATTGTGCACGTATGAGACCTCGATCTCGATCTAGATCTCGATAAAGTGGTGCAAATATCTTGATTTTATTCGATTGTTTGCATCACGAGGCGGTCATAGTACCCTGCCGTGCCACCCAGTTGCAGGATACTCGAGTCAGATGACAGGTATTAATAACAGGATAAGCTATGTCAATGACATTGTCAGTTTCCGCAGCTATCACGCATTTTATGTATTGGCATAGCTCATAATTTCGTACTGATTCCAAGGACTCGAGAACAATCCTTGAATCTGTACTCATGGTTTCAAGGAAGTAGTTGGAACATGTAGAAATGTACGTACGTCACTGTGAACACCACAATCTAGATCTGGTGTATCAACGCCAGGATAATTCAAGAAAAGAATGTAACCATATCGACAAGTCTAGAACATGACGTGAACATGACATTTATTTGCATCCATTACTTGGTAATTTTCGCTGCGTGATTGGTCACCCCAAAACTGTGGGGCATGTGGAGATGATCTCCCTTAGGCTACCTGACGAACTATACAACTTGCAACGACCACAAAGTATATAAAAGTACCTTAACAACAGACTCAACCCCTCACCTTAGCACAGCCTGCAACATATCTATAACCATGTTCCCCCGCTGCCTCGCCTCCAGAACACTCACCCTCAGACTATCCTCAGTCACACCCATCACATCCAAACTCATCCAGAACCGCACCTTTGCACTCACCGCGCCCACCATGACTCGCCTCGCAGACGCAATCAAAGACGACCACCGCGAGCTCGAAGAAGCCTACAACAAGATCCTCTCCGCCAAAACCTCCGATGAAAAGACCCGCTGGCAGAACCAGTTCACATGGGAACTCGCCCGCCACTCCATCGGCGAGGAGCTGATCGTCTACCCGCTCATGGAGAAGAACCTCCCTAACGGGAAGGCGATGGCCGATAAGGACCGCAAAGAGCATCAGACTGTATGTCCCCTTTCCCCCCTTCCCTCCCTTCATTTGAGTGAGTGTTGGTGTTAATGAGAAATAGGTCAAAGAACATCTCTACAAATTCCAGGGCCTCTCCGCCGAGGACGCCGAGTTCGAGCCCACGCTTAAGTCCCTCTGGACTAATCTGAGCCAGCACATCAAGGAAGAAGAGGCCGAGGATCTGCCCTCGTTGGAGAAGACGCTGGACCAGGGCGACTCGGAGAACCACACGAAGAAGTTCATGCGCACGAAGAAGTTCATCCCCACGAGGAGCCACCCCAGTGCGCCTGACAAGCCGCCGTTTGAGACTGTGGCGGGGTTGATGGCCGCGCCGATTGATCATCTGGCGGATTTGTTTAGGAAGTTTCCTGAGGAGTCGAAGAGTCAGTTGCCTCCTTGAAATTCTTTATTTTTACGTCAGTAGCTTTGAAGGGCAGCTGGAGTTGTGATGCCGTTTGTTCATGAGTTATATGAATAATGTGTGTATATCTGAATGCAATCTTAACATTAAGTGGACGAGATTAAATAGAGTAATTAAAAGGATAAGGGGAAATTAGTTGGTAGGACAGGCTCCAGCCCCCTTGGACGTTTTAGTCACGGTCTCCGTCTGCGTGATCGTCGTCTTTACCGTTGTTGTCTTCGTACTGGTGGCTCTGGAAGTAACCGTCGCCGAAGGGGTAAGACTATATGTTGTCGTCTTCACAATCGTGCTTGTAGGAGTGGCGAGCGTGACCGTCGAATGGATCGTCGAGACGGTCGACTTGATCAAGGTGAGCGTGCTCCGAGGAAGCGAGACGGTCGATTCGATTGTCATTGTCTTGAGGCTGGTGACGGTCTGAGTTGCACCAACCACTGTGGTAGTTGATGTCTTGGTCGCGAGCGAGGTAACAGTCACAGTGCCGGTAGAGGCCCTGAGGGTGGTAGTCTTTCCGATGGTTGAGATACTGGTTTGCGTGACATAGCTGGTTACCGCTGGGATGGTGCTGGTCGTGCCCTTGGTCACGGTTGACAGGACGGTAATGGTGCTAGTTGAGGCTGGGATCGTCGTCGTCTTGCCGGTTGTCTTCGTGGTGACCACAGTGACAATATCGGTTGACGCAGGGAGCTTAACCGTGGATGTCTTAACAATTGTGGTGAGGGTGGTGTAGTCGGTGACAGTCGCAGCGGCAGCAGCTCGAGGGATTACACTCCGCTTTATCTTTGCAGCGGGAACACAGTCAATCGTAGTCGTGGTGGTCTTGGCCTTCGAGATCGTGGAGGTGACGCTAACGGTGCTGGTGGTAGCTTTGGCCGTGATAGTGGTGGTGCCGCCCGTACCCGTAGTGACGGCGACAGTCGAAGTTACCTTGACTGTTCCTGGTGTCAATGTTGTGATAGCAGTCGTTGTGGCCACTGCAGTTGTTGTGGTTGTTACTGCTTTGGCTGTCACCGTGGTGGTCGTGGCAGAGGTCAATGTGCTCTTGACAGTGACAGTAGACGGCGCCTGGGTAATTGTTGCAATGATTGTGGTAGTTTCCTTTAGCGTGCTCGTACTCGTGCTCGGAGCCGGTGTGATAGTGAGGCCGACATCACTGGTAATGACAACTATCTTCGTGCTCGTCACCGTTGGCTGGGAGACAATCACCGTGTCCGTTATGGTAGTCTTCTGCGTCGTTGTCTTGAAAGACTCGGCTGCAGTCAGAGTTGTACCCACATCTTCCGTCACAGTATATTTGGCCGTAGAAGTCTTATCCACAGAGGTCAGAGTCGTGTACACAGTCTCCTGATTCGTCACGGTCATTGTAGTTGTCACGGTCGAGACTGTAACGACGACACTCGGAGTCGGCGTAGCTGAGCTCACAGCCGCACTTGTGGTGATCGAAATTCCAGGGACGAATGGAGTTCCACTGACATGGGTGAAATCAATCCAAGATGTAATGGCGAAGAAACGTGAGAGCTGGAACTGAGAAACGCTGCTGTCATCCAGCTGAGTTGCAAACGAGGCACGCCGAGCAGTCGACGCTCCAGGTCCATAGTTGCCATACTCTCCGAATACCACCCCATCGGTGTTTGGAGTACTCGACGACCACCGCTCCCATCCAGCAGCGGTCACACCCGAGTCCAGGTATGAATCCACGTACGCCACCCGAGCGAAAGAATTCCATGGCCTGCCGAGAGAGATATCGGACATTGTCCCGGCACCCGTAGAGGGTACGATGGTACACTGGTCGAAGACGAACCCAGCGGCAGTAGTATTCGTGGAGCGCTTATCGGCCGTCAGATTGATGCCATCTTTGTTAGGCGCAATGTTTGACTTGAGGAAGTACCCGGCTCCCGATCCCCAGATCATATCGATATTTCCCTCGATGTAGCTGTTGCTAGCGAAGAAATATCCATTAATCAAGAGCGCATCCTGGTTTCCCTTCACCTGGCAGCCATAAAGAGCAGCATACTTGCTTGACTTGACCGCGAAACCAAGGGATGCATAGTCCTTAGCTGTGCCGAAATTGTTGACGAAGTTGATGTTGATAGCCTGGAAGTAGTTACCGGTGGCATAAACAGTGGCACTATCCGAGTTGGACTGGTCGGCCTGGGTATCGACACCAGCATTGTACTGGATAGTAACCTGGTTGCTGTTGTAGTCGAAGGTCGAGGTTGAGTAGCCGATGAAGATCGTGGTCCCGGAACGATTTAGCACAAGCTGCTCCTCGTAGAGACCCGGGTAGATGAATACTGTGGGTGTCGCTTTACTGGAGGTAGGCAGGGCATTGAGCGCACTCTGGATAGTGTCGTAAGTAGTCATATTTTCAATCGCCGTCTTGGACACGATGTACGCTCCAGCCGGAGGGACAGTCCCGTCATACGCTGTTGGCGTAGCAGTAGGAGTAGCGGTCGCTGTAGCCGTAGTGGTTGGGGTCCCAGTTGGAATGGTAACAGAGTCCCAGTATGTCAGATCAATCCAGTCAGTCGGCCCCATGACTGTTTCAAGTGTATAAGTGTCCGAGGGAAGTAGAGTACAATTGCCAAAAGCCTGTCGAGCAGCCACATTATTCTCCCAACTACCCGGGCCAGAATTGTTGAACTCAGCGAACGTGACATGGTCCGTACGGGGGTCGGTGGTACTCCAGATCTTCCATCCCGAGGGCTGGATGATATCACTCAAGTACGAATTCTTGACGACCACCAGGGCATACGCGGAATACGGACGACCGAGATACACGCTCCGGGTGAGATCGACTGTTGCACCGGGAGCGGCTTCAAATGTGCACTCGTCGAATATGTATCCACCGACAGCAGAAGAAGACACTCGACTTTGCGCCGTAATGGCAGATTTGGCTCGTTTGGCGCCGATGGTGCATCCCTTGAAATACGCCTTGGAGTATCCCCAGATGAAATCTATTGCACCCTCGATATAGCACGATTCGTAGTACTGATATCCGGCCGTACTGCCCGTCAAGAGGGTATCTTGCCAACCGATAAAGCTACAGCCATAGAAGCCAATTTGTGAGCCATAAATCGATGCGGCGAGAGTCACATAGGACGACTGCGATCCATCCAAATTATCGCTGTTGATTATGTTGATATTGTAGAGCGCAATCTTGTTGCTGGCGGTGGACAGAGTGGCCGTCTCGGCATCAGAGTGACCCGTTGGCAGAGGAGACACAGACAGGCCTCGAGCAAAAGTGATAATAACTTGGTTCGTGATGTAGGTCTCGCCAGGGTTGCCAGACTGATAACCAATGATTTGAACGGGCCCATTCCGGTTGATCGACGGGACCTGCTCGGTGTAGGTTCCGGGATACATGAAGATGACCTGGGTCGAAGCATCGTTGGGTAGAGCAGCCAATGCAGCCGTCAAGTTGCTGTAGGAACCGTTCACGGTGCCACCTTGAGAGACAATGATCGCGCCCGCTGGGGGAGCGGTTCCGCTGGTTGGATGTCCCCATGTTGCAGTCGCGGTGGAGGAGGGAGTAGCAGTACTGGTCGGAGTGGGAGCGGTCGTGTTTGTACTCGTGGATGGTCCGGTAAGACTATAGGAAGGAACATAATTATACGCTGTCATGTCCAACCAGGCCGTATTCCCAATCCAGGACGAGAGTGTGTACGCGCTGGCAGCATCTGCGGTCAGGTTGGTTGCAAATGACGCACGGTTGGACGACCATGCTCCAGGACCCGAGTTGTTGTACTCTCCAAAGGTGACGTGGTCAGTTTGAGGTGCGCTGGTAGACCAAATGCTCCATCCGGCGCTGTTGATGTGCTTATCTAGGTAGGAGTTCATATACACGGCAATACTATATTGAGAGTAAGGCCTGCCGAGGTATGTTTGACCAAAGGTGGCATGATAGGTGTTGGTGTAGGTCACATAGCAACTGTCAAACACATACCCCCCAGCGGCAGTGGAAGAGGCACGACTCTGGGCGGCGATACACGCGCCGGGAGTATTTGATGCAATGTAGCACTGATGAAAATAGGCAGTCGAGAAACCCCAGATGTAATCGACCGAGCCCTCGATGTAGCAATTCGAGAATACTTGCGTACCTTTGTTAGCCAAGAGCGTATCTTGGTAACCGATGAAGGAACAACCGTATGCTGCCATGTTCGAACCGTAAAAATCTGCAGCTAAGGCAGCGGTGTTACTGGTCTGCGGGTACGTATTAACAAAGTTGATGTTGTACAGCGCGAGACCAGAGCCGTCCGTCTTCTTTGCATAAATAACCGGAGTGTTTTCATTCTGACCAGCACTGGTCAGGACACCGTAAGAAAACTGGATAGTAACCATGTTTTGGGTGTAATCATTCTCAAAGGATGTTTCACCACGAAGAGTAACCTTGCCTGCGCGCGTGATAGAGATCTGCTCGGTATAGGTTCCCGCCTTGATGTAGATTGTGTATGCCTGGCCATCATTAGGCAGAGCTGCGATCGCGTGACTGACATTGGCATACTGGCCAGCAGTGGGATTCTGAGAGACAACCAGGGTGGAGGACGGCATGGCTGCGGTAGACGTCACAGAAGCCATGCTGGAAGATGTCAAAGCCGCAGTCGATGTGGCAACGGTAGCCGAGGTCGGTACGGCTGTGGATGCACTTTGAATCACGTCCGAGTTTGCAATCTCTGCCAGGACATCCGCGTATACCCAGTTGGTAGACGAAGAGGCAAATTGAGGATATACGCCGGCAAATACCTTGTTTATTGAAAAGCGGGCCAGGTCCGACGCACTCAGCAGAGACATATACTGCGAGCGCGAGGCCTGATTGCTGGAGTAAGATCCCGCTCCTGTAGTCCCATATTCACCGTAGAAATTGAGAGAGTTCTGAGTGGCCGAGTCGACATGCACGCCCGTAGCAGCGATCAGACCCGCGAGGTATGTGTTCCGGAAGACGACGACTGATCCCCCGCCGTTGTTTGCTGCTGCCAAGTAGACGTTCGTGTTACTCGTGCTAGTCTTTTGCCGGACAGAACAAGAATCGAAGACGACGGTCGAGTTGTACAAGGTGCCTCCAGATGTGTAGCCCTTGTTGTAAACAAGAAGAGCGCTGGAACTAACAGGTACGATCGTAGTGTTGTAGATGTACAGACTGGGATAGCTGTATATTACCTTGTCCAGGGCCTCTATATAGCTGTTGACAATAATCCCAAGTCCCAGATTGGCGGTGATACCTAAGCTTCCCGCAGACACAAACTGGCATTGGTAAAATGCATTCTTGGATCCGCGGATGGTGGCCGCCCCATAGCTGCCCGTCGCAGTGTTGACGAAGTTGATGTTGCTGAATGTGATACCGAGGACGTTGACAGAAATGATGAGAGGACTGACAGCAGAGATGGTGACTTGATTTTGCGCATAGTCATTTTGATTGGCAGTCTCACCAATGATGGTGACCGAGGGTGTGGCAGAGACGGTGACCGCTTGGGTATAGGTTCCTGCTTTTACAGTGACAGTAGGAATCCCTTGTTGCTGAGCATACGCGATGGCATCGCCGATTGCAGTAAACTGCCCGGAGCTATCGGTAGCAACAATTACCACTGAAGAGGAGGCTAGATGGAACAGGAGAGTCAATCCTGCTGTTCCTTAGAGTGAAACAGTCCACGTACTCGGAGATGAGAGGGCTGTAGGCGATGCAGTCGAAGACGCGGCGGCAGTGACTGCAGCAGATGTCGAGGCCACAGTCGAGACAACGGTCACGCTTTGGGCAACTGCTAGGCTGGTTAAGCCAGTCAGGCCCCAGGCGTCCCAGAAACGCATTTTGGCACAACTGGACAGACCGAATTTTCAGGTCCTTGTCTTCGTAGAAAATATTCTGTCCCAGAGACGGCAGTGTTGAGTTGGCCAAAGCGCTTGCTCAAAGGGAAAGACACCCTCCGGGCACAATGAAGGATATGTTACTCCTATATATCCCAGCGCAAATAGAGATTACGCCTTTATCTCCGCCATCTCTGTTATCGACCTAGGGAAAAATACGATGTAGGGCAAGACCTCCGGGGCCGAGGAACGAAAATTCACCGACCCTTGGAACTATCGACGCCTGCTTCGTCCATCATAGTTCGGGAAAATACAAGCGACGCATTAGACCTAAAGTCTAAGAGTAATCGAAGAATCGTCTACTGGATTGTACCTTGCGCACGATATCGCCATCAAGTACTGCATAGTCTGGCGCGATCTAGACTGTAGCCCGGCTCAAGGAAATAGGTCCCAGCACGGCATTTTTCCAGTGGCTCGGTGTACTTCCAGCTGAACCAGAGAGCGAGAAACACAGTGGTCCGTGTCGGTTTCCATCAAGATCTCAGGTGCAATGAATACCCGGGAGCTGCCGACCACGTGGCACCCATATTTTCAGTTCGCGAAGCAGTCTGGATCACTCAACAGACTGCTTGATTGGCATTTTGATGCTGAAAAGATAGATATTTTCCGTCAATCACGATGAGCGCCTTCTCAACTCAAGGAGTGCAAGGTGAGCTTAGCCCAATACTAGTCCAGAAGAAGCAGTTCTCCCGATGATCACGGAGCTGAAGTTTTCGAGCCAATCATCAGTCGTATCGCCAGGAGGGAATGGAGCCAAGTAAGGTACGGTAGTTATTAGGATCTGTCAAGGCCGTGTATCATTATTCTTCTACTCCGTAGTGTTGTTGTCGGCTGGCTTTGTTGTTATCGCCCTGGAGTGGAGTCGTCCGAAAACCTTTCGCCTCTCAGTCAAATGGCAGCATCGACTTTCGTCTTTGGTTCGATCCGAATGCCAAAATTTAGACTCGGAGATTTTGAGCAATGTCAACTGGTCATATCTTGCAGTATAATCTGTGAGACAAAAGAGCTTGACTCCTACTGGGAAATATTGCTGGTGGAAATTCTAAAAAAAATATTGAGGGAATAGAGTTGTGGTCAAATGTCCTCTGCCGCTCTTTAACGTGCAGTGTGACTTTCTCGTGGTCAGCGCGCAATCTGCTTAGAATTCGGGAGAGAATGTTGACATTTATTTTCTATCCAGTTGTATGGCCCCAGAGATTCAAGATCTTGAATCTGAGAGATCGGTTTGCAGATCAGCGCTGATCAAGATCTGCAAAGGTCGCTCCGCACCCTCAATCCTCTCATGGCTAGACTACTACGAGGATGCAGATGATCATATCGTGACATGTTTAGAGAGATGTGAAAACCCCAAGTCAATACACAAAGATTTTAGACCCAATATTAACGGGATGGCTCGTCTGTCGGCAACTTGCCCTACGGTTATGCCAGGACAAGTGCAGATATATGGCTCTGCTTGTGGATATATATTAACACGGTTCACCAGAATGACTAATTGCTGCCAAGTGTTCTCTGTTCAGGTTGACCCTTCCACCCAAAAGAGTACAGGCGAAATTTTGGCATATGTCAAGAATTATGTTCCTCCTATTGTAGCCGTGTATGTTTCGTGGTTCTGCTATGTTGTCACATGAATGCTCCTTAATGTGCTAGGGCTCTTGCCTACTGGAGAACAATTTTCTGATCCCAAGGCAGTACACTATCTGCATTTTCTCTACTGATTAAAAACGGATGCGCATGCCACTGGGGACCAATAAGGCTGTTTGTTGCTGCTTCGTGGCCTATGGAACCCCTGCTAGGGAGTAAAGTGGGGTTCGTGAATGACTCGCCAACGTCGGTAAAACGCACAGCCGTCCTCAAAATCGATTCTTAACAATCACCATCCTTTTACTGGTCGCCCTTTGGGCTTTGGTTCAAACGTTTTTGCCTCACAGATAGACCGTCCTTCGCAATCTATTATTCTCGAGTTAGATTGCTGTTCAATTTGACCTGCCAATTACTTTTTAAGAGCCGAGGAAAGGAGTTGGATTGTCTGGCAAATCACCATCGAACGATATATTGGGCTCCCCACACGATCTTACTTCCTAAGAAAATAGTTCAGAATCCCTAGAATAGTAACCAATCATGCCTCAGATAGCTCTGGTTGCGGTCCAACTATCATTACTGGCGTCGGCGAAATCCACACTGTCAAATTCCCCTCTACGACCCTTCTGAACCAGGGCAGCTACTTCGACTGAGGCTCGCAGAATCAACAAGTCTACCCATATACCGAAAGACATGTAAACAGATGATATAGACCACTACGGAAAATTCGTCGAATTGCGCATTTCTTGTGGTTGATGAAATTGAATAATGATGAGGCGCAGCCGAGGCTGACCCTGTCTGAGTTTGGAACATATGCATGCTAGACACATGCTAACAATCATTATTAATCCATGTTCAGTTACTTTGTACAACAAACGATTCTATTGATAATGAAACACGGAGGACCTCATTGGACGTAAGAGCTATTGTCCAATTGGGTGTTATGGCATGTCGGGGAATTATCTCGGCCGGCCGGCGCCCAGACACACTGAGTTTAAAGCGACAGGGATTAGCTAACGGTCGTCTGGGTTATACTATATCGAGAAATCTGTCCTTCTAATCCCTGTTGATTCTGTGTATGTCCCGCCTATGTTGGACTCCATACTGCACCCGAGGTCGGCAGGGATGTCAGACGAGGGGCGGAGACGTTATTAAACCCCCCCTGTGCCTCACAGCAGCTGTTTTCATTTCTCTAGATTTTTTCTAGTCACAGAGGTAGATACTACAATATCATCAAAATGGGTGACGCAGACGCTCTTCCGGATTATGTCCTTGACCCCAACGCCGTCTTGAACGACAAAGACGCTGCCTGGCGACATGGCGCACCCCCAGATTACTCCAAAACAAGGGCATTCTACGAAGAAAGTACGCAAACCCCCAAGCTTCAACTCATGGATCCCTATAAAAGACTAACCATACTCTCTCCAGCAAAACAAATGACCCACGCGGCAGGCAGCCTCCCTGATCTCGTCTCCAACCTCGTCAAGAACTGGGAGATCGAAGCATCCTTCAAGACCTCACTCGACGACTGGCGCACAATCGACCACAGCAAATATACGTTCTCGCTGAACGGCGGACCGCCGCAGACAGGCGACCATATGCTCCGCGTGGGCACCTACAACGCCCTACTTACGTCCAGCTCGTACTATGATCCCGAGCATAATGATTTCTCGACGAGTCACAAGGCGTTTAAGCGGATGATGCCGACCTTTGCGTGGGAGGTCTTGGAGGTGTATAGCGGGCCTCCGGTTGTGATCTTCAAGTGGAGGCATTGGGGTTACATGGCGAATGATTATGTTGGGTATAACAAGTATGCATCTACATTCCTGGTTAAATGGCCGGAAGATACTAATCCACGTTCTAGTCGAGGAGAAAAGGTCACAGTCAAAGCGCATGGTGGTCTGATTGATATCCAAGGCATCGTCATTGCCAAGGTCAACAGTTCGCTGCAGCTGGAAAAGATTGACGTTTGGTTTGACCCTATGGATATGTTCCGCCAGATTGCGCGCGAGGAGAAAGTTGAGGGTGAGAGCAAGGCTGCAGTGGATGCAGCTGGGGCCGCTGCAGGCTGTCCAGTTATGGGTCATGGAAGCACATAATATACTCCTCTTACTACTGAATAGCGAATAGCACATTCATACTCGTGATTCTCGGGCGAAATTGAATCAGAAACAACTTGAAGTCATGCTTAACCACATCATCCTTAGAGCGTACAACATGTGATTTGCATATATATATCATCTCGGAGACTGTTTGTGGAAGGGATGAAACAATATATACCATTATGTACATTCAGATTACTGCATTTAACGCATCATCCAAGAACATCATTCTAAGAAGAGCTGCACTACACCAGCAAAAACATTAATACCTAGCTGTCATAATGAGCGCCCCCAATGCCAGAAACGAGCACCAGACTAATGCTGAATACACCAAACGCAATCGAATAATCTTTCCCCCATCTAGGGGCTAGGAAAGGTCAGAAAGCGTTGTACGCCTCCAAGATTGCCTTCGCGCATGATGCTGCACTCGCAGAAGCATACGCCGGCCATGGATCTGTGCCATAACCATCGCCATAATCTCCGACACCTGTGATCACCATTGTGGGAAGCCCCCTCCATACCCCGACTCCTGCCCATTCAAATCCAATGACATCTTCTTCAGCAGCTATCTGATCACGCCTCTCGGCGGACCTCAAGATTGTGTCCCCAGATGCAAGCCATCCAAAATGGACGTTTGGTTTGAAATACTCGATCGCAGGTATATTTGACCATGGCCATGCTTCTACGCGAGGCTCCGCAACTAGGGAGCAGCTCGTTGGCTGCCATTCAGCGACAAGCATAGGGGTCTTGTTCCTAACCTTCGAATAGCAGATATAAGGGCATCGATCCAACCCAGAACGCCCGAGTGAACAGCACTGAGGGAAGAGTTTGTTTTCGTCTGCGCTGAGGTAATTGGTCGCTTCAAGGTCACCGAGAGTAGTTTGGAGATAGTTCAGATGCTGCGACATATGTTCTCTCGTCACATCGATAGACTGCCGCTGACGAAGTCTATTCAGGAGCCCGGCGATGTGGCCTGTGGGTGGAGGAAAATCGAACATGGGCCCTGATTTGCGCAGGAAGATGTCTCCGGGTAGGAGTTTGCCCAAGTCATATTCTATTATTCCTTCGCTAACTAGGACATCGCCGAGACGTATCTTCTGTCCATCCTTTGTGCACGGGATTCCACAGCCAGTGCTAACGACAAGACACAGGCGGATTTGCGGAAAACTAATGGAGAGCCAGAAGGATGTCTTCGCTGCAAATACCTTGCCGTATTTGGAGATCTGCGTAAGAATCACGCTGTGCTTGCCGATTCGCCCAGCTACGTAGGAGTTTGTGTCCGAGGGGTGGATGCCCGAAATATCACCGACAATACCGTAGTCGTCGTCGAACAGAGCCTTAATCGCCCTGACCTCTCGCTTGGAAGCACATATAATGGCGACGTCGAAATCGTTTGTGGAATCAGGACATCGGTTGGCAGTGGCTGTCTTTAGGGAAAATAGATTAATAAGACTACAAGTGAGGTAGATCTGAAAAGCAATGCTGAGCAGTTCAGATACCAGATCGTTCCCACTGGGTACCATGGCTCTTCTACGGGTTCAAAAAATATAGACAAACACCGGCTCAAGAATTGCAAATTATACTTCGTGTCATCCTTTAAATTTAGGCTTCTCTGGGACGCAGACTGGGGTATAATTGTTGTCATATTGCGTTAAGCGCCATAGCAGGGTGCTCTGCCGAACAGCATCCTCGTTCGCTACAATCATATGTAAAAATGAGGCGACATTCTCATTCTCGACTATTTGACTGAGTAAGAGCAGCAGGCAAATCAAAGAGATCGTGACGGTGTCAAATTATCGGAGATATCACACCGGAGAACACATCGACTCTTAACCTAAAACAACTCGGCGGTTAAGAAGCGACAAACCACACCACAGCCCAAACAAATCCAAGGTGTGAAAACTCAATAAAAATAGCATGAGGCCTAGAATCCCGTTGCATGATTTTGCTGGTAATGGTTATGACGTCTGGCAGTTTTTTATCGGGAACCTCACCCGACAATTTGACTGGTTCGGCAATCTTCTTCACATGTATTGGATTATCACAGATAACTTTGCCTACTAGAGAGATGGCCAAGGTTACCTTTTAGAGCGTCACTTATATCCCTGACAGGAATTTCACAACAACTGCAAGGGACGATGAGTGCACATGTAGCGCTGTTGTGCTTGGATTAACCGCCTTTGTGTTTCACCTATTGTAGACCTGCAGTGAAGTCAGTATACCATTTGTAGGTCGGTGTCCAAATTCTAAGGGACAGATTAAGCTTACACTGAGAGTAATACGCATTCTGGTAAGTGCACTTCCATCCGCTCGGGCATTCAGTTGGCCCAGTGTATCCGGTACCACCACACTGTCCATATGGTGTACTAGTCCCTGTAGATGTTGGCGATGTCGTAGTCATGGATGTACTAGTAGTACTGCTCGACTCCAGCTGACGCCTTTCATCCGGCGTTTTGACTATGGCAAGAAAGGTTTCCATACGATGGCATGGCCGGCCTTGGATGTTCTGAGGCCCGTCTTTGTGCACGCATGCGCTGGGAAGCAAAGTCCCAGTATCCCACTGAACGAGACGATCGCTAACAAGGACATCCCCTAAAAAAGTGTCCCGCCCATCGTTGCCGTATGGGACGCCACCGCAGACACCGACAACCAATGCCAGCTGGATCTGGGGGTAACTCAGTTTCAAGTGCAGCGTTGTAGTCATCGCCTTGCACTTCCCGTTCCCTGCCATATAGACGAGAACTATATAGTGGTTGCCGATTCTCCCGTTCCTGTAAATAATTTCATAGGATGGGTGTTGGCCGAAGCTGTTGTCATTCACGTAAAACTCATCGAAGACGGTTTCTACTGCGTCTGATTCAACTCGAAGTGCACAGAGAATCGCGATTCGGAACTGGTCGCGACTCATCGGTCCAGGGATCTCGCTCATCACACTTTCGTATTTCTAACTGACATAAAAGGATAAGGACAGCAAGATTATCATCATCCGAAAGGTACGGAACTACAACGAGGTCTTTAGTATGTTGAAGCAAAACAAGACTTACCAAACGCGTTTAAAAAAACTTCTATTACTGCATGGTGTTGCTCACCTTATAGTGTCTATGTATTCATTAATCGAGTTTGATCCAAAGCCTATAACTTGAGTGAGTAATAGGGCTAAATGTTTGTGGAACCCCAAATGTCAAGCATTGCTCATACGCGCTTCAAGGACTGGAGGACCTTGCAGAGATTGATTTAAATGGATACCAACTGGATGATGAGAAATTGATTGGCTTGGAGTTTGTTGATATACGGCGATTATTTTTGGAGGCATTTTGTACAAAATGGCGAACATAGTAAGAGGGTTAGCCTGTTACTGTAACCCACAAATAGTTAGGTAGCAGACAATGTGCTACAAAGGTGTCTCCTTCACTCTCATATAGGGACTCATCAGCCAATGAGACAGAATCAAATGCGAGAGCCTAGCTAAGCATAGGCCACTCACAAACAACATGCCGCTGCTGGGATGCTCACCTAGTTATGAGTATGCCGCCTTTACGGTGGGCGGACGAAGCTGTCTTATACTTAAAGGCGTCACCCAAGTACCCTTATAAACAATACGTTAAGGAAAGAGGTCCACCGTGTTATTTAATGACTAGATACAAATAACGACTACAATTCATGCCAGACGATACAGCCCCTCCCTTTTAATAATTCGCCTTGGAGGGTTCAACCGTTATTGTAGGCCTGATATTCTGTCAGCATCCTGTCCGAAGATTGTTCTATTCCATAGAGGTATAATTTCAGAACTTACATTGGGAGTAATATGCATTCTGATAAGTGCACGTCCATCCGCTCGGGCAGACAGTTGGCCCGGTATATCCGGTACCACCACACTGTCCGTACGGTGAACTAGTTCCTGTAGAGGTTGCTGATGTCGTAGTCTTGGATGTACTAGTAGTCGTCGTCGACGCCTTGGTGGTCGTGGTCAGCGTCGTTGAAGAAGTCGTGGTACCAGATGTCTTTGTGCTCGTCGAGGTGGTCTTGGTCGTAGTCGCCGTAGCTGTTGGAGACGGGAGACTTCCACTCGGCTGACCATAGAAGATACCCCTTCCATTCGTGCCCACGAACACACGTCCATAATTTGACATGTCCCCATTGACCACATTAGCAGACACAGCGCCGAAGCCATGCGTAGAATCGGAAATCATCTGCCAATTCGTGCCCATGTCCTCAGTCTTGAAGAGTGCCGCCGTACCGTCAACAGTGAAGAAGCCGTAGATGACGGCGTAAGAGCCTGTCGACGAGGCCTTGCCGAGACCGAAGCTCCAGCCTGCCGTGCACCCACCGCCGATCTTGGTGAAGCTCTTGCCGTAGTCTGTCGAGTGCCAGAGACCTGTATCGGTAGTAGCCCAGACATCGCCGGCAATAGAGGGATGAGCGCGAATGGCGTTTACGGCGGTGCTGGAGCCAAGGGCTGCAGTCTTGGTGAACGAGGTGGCGCTGTTGGTGGAAACGTAAAAGGAGCCGGCTGATCCGCCGTAGAAGACGGTGTTGTTGGACTTGTCAGACGCAATGGCTGCACCGGAGGGTAGAGAAGAGACAGCACTGAATGTGCTGCTATACTTCGACACCATGGCCCCATTGGAGTTCATGAGCAGGACGGTATCGGCGTCCGCGGAGAGAGCAACCTGCCCGGTAGGTGTGGTGGAAGAGGCTGCGTAGTTTGCCGACCAGGTCTTGCCAAAGTCCGTAGAGATAGCAACGGTAGGATTCGTGTCGCTGGCTCCGGAGCGAACAATGTTGGATGGTTTGTTACCAGCGTAATCAATGCCGTTGGTAGTGCCGTATGTTGGGTTATGGAAGGATTGAGCCGGTGCCTTGCCGAGATCTGAATGGTAGAATCCTCCAACGTCGCCAACAGCAGACAACAGTGGTGGTCCTCCTGGAGGAGCAATGAGTCCAAGAACAGCCGTCTCTTCAATTCCGACAGCGAGAGATTTCAATGTGATATTATGCACAGAGTCCCACTTCTGAAGGTCATGGCCACCATAGATCGTTTCGCCGGTACCGTACAACCAGTGGTTGGAATCGAATGGGTCAATGGCGAGAGCCTCGACCATCCAGCCGACACGAACGGGAAACTGAGCTGTTGAGGTGGCGTCTTGCAGCCAGGGGGCATTAGAGATATCGTAGCTATAGTAGTAGTTCAGGTTAGGATATCCGTTCCAGGCCCAGATGGGGGACCACGTCGCTCCGGAATCCACACTCCTGAAGATCAGCTCATCCGGCCACCAACAATTCAATGCAGCTACCATCAACGTCCCAGGGACTTGCAGGTCAACAGCTAAACCGCCATAGCCATAGTACGTGCTCGCCATGGGTGTAGGGCTGATGTCTGTCCACACTTTGCTGGTAATGTTATACTTGTGTACCGTTCCATTGGTGCCATCATACGGACCAGCTCCGTTGGAATAGGAGATGTAAAGAGTCTTCTCAGCTGGTGACAGCACGCCTTTATGAGGCAGAAAGCCGTATTGTGGCTCTCCGGTAACCCAGGACCCTAGCTTTCAGTTAACGGAGATGTCAGATCGAATAGATGCAAAGAACCTACATGTCGATCCGGCGTCTTCAGACACAAACACTGATTTACCAGCGTCCGCAACCCCTAGAAAGGATTAGACATAGTTCGAGATTCCCTAATATCAAAGCATACCAACAAAAATGCGTGGAGTGGGAGAGCCCTTTGATCCAGACGTAGAATCAAACGTCACCCACGCAATGCCAACGGGGTCGGACGTATATGTAGAACTGGTATCCTGGAAATATGTTCCTATTTCCGTTCAGCTCCTCGTCAAATGGAGTCATCGGTATTATGCCTTACCAGTCCAGATAAAAGAAGTGACATTGGACCAGGTCGCTCCGTAATCAGTGCTCTTCCAGAGGCCATGGCCACTCCTCGCTCCAAAGTAGAGGACGTTGTTTTTATTCGGGTCTACAGCAAGACGCTACATGGTCTTAGCCGGGGAAACAAGCAACGCAGAATGTAAGTTACTCACCTCGCCCATACCACGACCAGGCATGTTTCCCCCTACTTTGAACGGCAGCTTTGTCTCTGACCAAGTATTACCCTTATCGGTCGAGCGCAGAATTGAGCCAACGTTCGGGTCCCATTCGTTCGTGTACATGCCCACCGCCAGGTACAAGCGATTGGTATCAATAGGATCTGTAGCGAGTGCATCAACACCCCAGTCATGCCTAAATCGTCAGTACATTTCATTTATAGATCAGATTTCATACCAGTTACTGTTGCCCACAGAGTCCTGTAGAGGGGTCCATGTGTCGTCAGAGTTAAGACGGTATGCCCCTCCAATATCAGTACGAGCGTACGCTACTCCCTTGGCTGATGGATTGAAAACAATTCCTGGAACGAAGCCTCCCCCTCCTGGATATCGCCGTCAGCGATAAGATCAACCAGGCGGTGTACAGTATACTTGCCCCCTGTAACCACATTTTGCCAAGTGTAAGCTTGTGTTGCGGCTGCGTGGGCTGCATCAAACAAGAGGCCCGCAGCCAGCAAGACCACGCTTAGAGTATGTATCATCTTGGCACTGGGAGCTGAGAAGCCCTCATAACTTGAGTGGCCAGAAAGAGCGGTTCATGGGACTTTAAGTACGTCTCATCCACACGGAACTGTCTCCGCTGCTGTCCAATCCGATTCTAAAGCAATATATCCTCTCCAGGTCAGAGTGCAGGTGTGCCTGCCGATGGTACATCTGCATTTGCGACGATATGCATTCAGCTCAATTCAGAGGACTCTGAGAAGGTTCACCACGGTCCCGGTCCGCGCCTATTGGACATGGGCGCTATCTGTTAGGCTTTCTGCACACCCAGATCGAAAATAGACCATGTGATGGCTTCAGGAGCGGGTTAGCAGGTCATCTCGGCGCAAGCGGCCGAACAACCGTGGACTTTCAGGAACAAAATGCATTGCTGAAATTGAATAGGGACGGATTCATCACGGATGCCCTTCCGATGCATGTCAACCCTGCGATGCACCCCATACTTTACTTGCAGAATTGTGACTATGTGGAGTCCGGCAAATGTCCACATAATCCGCGTGGACACTGGCAAGTCTGTGTCTTAATTCTGCTCGGTAGATTTCCGGTGGGATTATAGGTCCTTGAATGGTCATCTGCACCGTGAGGATAAGCCATCTTGTGGTTGTGGCGCCGAGTGCAGGCTGCTATTCCGAAGTGGTCGAAGTGCGATTGGAGGAAGAAACAAATTAATGGAGGAGTGTACCTCAGAACAAGGGGTATATCAATTTGCCGATGCGGGGAATTGCGGAGAGGTATATTAGTCCTGTAGCGTGACGATACTGCAGAATGAAATCTGATAATTCCGCATTGAGACAGGGGACCCTTGTGAAAGTGCATTCAGCATTGTATCTAGAAGTGGATCTTTGTTTGCCAAAGATATTAAAGACATTTTATGGAGAATCACTAGGCATCGTCTTCAAACACATACTGCGGAGATGTGGAGCAAAAAAACTGGGGTATTCCTGATGCATTCGGACTCCGGCCCGCAATGCCTATACTTAGTTTGTCTCAACGTTACTAAGCTAAGGAGAAGATAAATAGGCATTATGTCAATTTCATCCGCCGGACTATATGCAAAAACATGGCTATCGAACGTGTCTTAGCCGCATCCCCCACAGGATCCTACACCCCACTTAACGCTTGACCTAAGGCTTTTTCCTCGATGTCAAGCATGTCCTAGTATATGCAGGTCAGTTAGAAGAAGAAACAGAGGCACCAGGGGTAATGGTCATATATTCTCCCTTCCTCCAATCCCATCCCCCGGATCTTTCTACATATATCGTCCTCACTAGTTACCATGCTGGGCATATTTGCTCCTCATCCGGATGCGCTCCCCGTATATGTACAGTAAGAAAGGATATGGCGCGAATAGCACGGTCAAGCAACCTAGCAATGTACAAGCCCAACCAACACCGAGATTATGGAACATTTGTGTCGCAAATAGGGGGAAGCCGCCGCCGAAAGTCGATCGTAAGAAGTCGTTTCCGGCAAGGACCGAGGCTGCATATTTAGGATACGCCTGTGCCTCATAGCAGAAAATGCCATTAAAGATAAGGTATCCCCCAAAGGAAAACAGCATGGAAGCGATAATAGGCACAATCCAATGGACGCTAGCAAAGTTTCCAGTCCATCCAAACCAGAAAAGGGATATTGGGAGACAGATCGCCCCAAAGCATGCTGGAGGGAGGTGTTCCTCCGGTGAAAGGTGGCCGTCTGGGTTGATGTGTTTGGATTGCCAGCGATATTTCCAATAGAAGTAGGCTGGAAGGGCAATGAATACTGCCCCTATCATGATACCCAGGAATGCCAGGCCGGTTTCTCCTGGATTAAACCGATGTTTTTCTTCAAAGACAATCGGAAAGGCTTCGAACCAGATATACAGAATTCCGTAGATAAGAGCGATATAGAGGTTCATCAGAAGGACAATAGGTTCGAGGAAGCAAAGCGCAAATGGACGGACCAGCGCCTCAAAGAGGACATCCTATTTCCATCTGTCAGTTATCACATGCTAGCAAAAAGGGGTTTGCACGCAGGCTTACCCTGGGAGCCACTTGAGCAATCTCAATCTCAGCCTCGGATGCATATCTCTGATCGCCTTTGATTCGGCGAATACGGCGCGCTCGGCGACTGAGAATGTTGGGGGCAAATGTCTCGGGCAGAAAGAAGAAGAGAAGAACAAGAGCAAAGCCGGATATCCAAAGCAGCTCCCAGATAGTCCACGTCCACCCCTTGGCGGAGGCGGCAAACCCTCCCACGAGAGGGCCCAGCACGGGAGCGGCAATGGCGAAGCTTGCCCATATCGCAATCATATAGTCGCGAATTCTGGGGTCCCACATATCCCCAATCGAGGCTCCCCCTGTCGCGAGGACCGGCGAGCCCATGAAGCCAGTTATGAATCGAAATGCTAGAAGCATCCCAATGTTCTTCGCGTAGATAACACCGAACTGAAAGAAAACAAAGACTACTAGTGTTGCAACATATACCGGACTTCGTCCCACTGCGGGGAGCTCTGATATCGGTGCCCAGATCATGGGCCCTGATGATATTCAATTAGTATCGGCTAAGGTCGATGCTGAATCATTTTGGAAGCAATGCAGCTCACCCAGTCCATATCCGAGCACAAATAGTGTTAAACCAAGGATTCCAACCTCTTTACTGACACCAAACTGCTGAGCCACACCCGGGATTCCGGGTGTGTAGATAGCGGATCCAATATAGATAGAAAATGTAAGAAGGCAGATAAGTAAGGTGACTAAGACCTTTTTGCGGATACTCCAATTTTGTGGATTCTACGAATATCAGCCAAATATCCAACCTTATCGGCCAGAAAAATCGTCAAGCATTCTTAATGGTCCTACCTCACTATCACCGGCGTCACTCCAGCCGATTACCTCTGGTGAACCATCCTGTATCCCACGCCATGGACCTGCCAAAACACTTTTCAGAGGGGGCCTTCGCCGTCCGCGGCGGCGAGAGGCTTGCGACACGACCGTGTACAAGGCATGCAGCTCGTAAAACTCTTCGCTACCAGGCGTCATGGATTCTTCCTGAGAGGCCTCGGGCCTTCCTAGGTATTTCCGCCAAGTAACATCATCGATTTCTTCCGGGTACAGGAAAAGCCTGTAGCCGCTAAAGAAACGAACTAACTTGCCGAATGCTGAGTCGCGGATCGTCTCCATTATAACATTTATCCTGGAGGCTACTTTGTCAAAATGACCAAACCAGTTAGTTAAATGCAGCTATTTCAATCCCTGAAGAAGTTATTCCTTCAAGTAAAGTACAAACGTCAGGTTATTATGAATATCTAATAACAAAACAAAATAAATGGTCACGCCACGTGGTTTATATCTCGCTGCTGAAAGGTTTCCCCTAATAAAGCAATGTCACATGTTGCCAAAAACACGCAAACAACGTCTGACTCTACTGAGACGGTGGTGGTGACTTATGAGGTAAAATCGGAGTTCTCTCCTGTGCTACGGTGTAACTGAGAACACACAGTGTTTCGTCATCTATGGCAAGAGAATTCCACTGCACTAAAGGTGACCAGGTGCTCTCATCCTGGTCTTTCTTTGCCCTGAGCAGCGCAGTAAAACAAATTTTCCGTTCTCGCAATATGTCGGGGTCCTTTGATGTTCCCTGTGAGATTGGTATGTTAATTGGTCTAGATAGGTCGGCTTGTGTTCTTTCCTCGGTAGACAGTACGGATGACATCAAGACTTCCATAAAGCTTCCGTCTCTGGTGCGCTGCGCACATCTTAAAATAAAGTTTAGCGGCCAGCGGTTGATCATCTTTAAGGATAGTGGGGTACGCCGAAGTCTTTACAATGCTCCACGCATCACTAACCCTGGACCCGACGTACTCGAAAGTTTCATTCCAATACCAGTCAGTGGTGTGACCATTTCCGTCCGTGGTCAGGTGAAAATGCAGGTATTATCTGGAACTAAACATTAGTAAGCAAGGAACTCTCCAAGCTTCTCTCCTCGTTACTCAGATGAGTAGAGCTCACCAAGCCTGCCACCATCCGCTTCCGCGTAATGTGTTGGACCGGTCACAATATAATAATATATTTATAGCGACTATACGCTTTATATTTCAGCAAAAAAGGCACATGACGGAATCCCTCGCTGGCAGCTCTCCAGTATGCAAGGCTGCATGCCACTAGGTACCAAGCGACGGAATGAATAAAGTGGCAGTCTCATTCTCCACAAGATGGTCAGACACTGGTGGCTTGAGTCGGCAAGCTTCCCTGTCGTTGCGGTATTTCCCCCAACGTCCCCATGTTAGAGGTTAATCTGACGGACGTGCCCTCTAGGGAGTACTATGTTCATTGGCCATAATGTTCAATATTTGCGCTGTATCCCAAGGATGGCGAGAGATAATAGACCCCGACGGAAGCGTAAGCATTATAGCTCAGCCGGCTTGGTACGTTTAGCGCTCTTTACCCTGCTTCTGATTGGGCTAATAATCAAACCACCCAGGGCTGTCGCGCTCAAGGCCGTGTCGTTGGCATTGGCCGTCGTTGGTTACTTCGTGCTTCTACTAACGATGATATCCAAACGTGATCCGGTCAAAGGATTTATCGTGACAATACTGTGCTGGTGCGCTTCAGCAGCAACACTGCTCAGTCTCATCGGTGTTGTAGCTCAGGAACATACAACTGTGAACCCTCAGCAGACGCTTCAGTATACGCAAAATTACTTCTATGGGACATTTGCTGCGAGCTACTACGTACTGATTGCTGTGTTGTTGGCAATCTATGCAGGCAGTGTGCACTCGGTGCATCTGAATCGTAAGGAAAGGCGAGCTATCGAATGCACGAGCATCATCCTGCGAGTGGCCGCTTTCTTTGTCTTTCTGCTCGGTGGCGCTGCCGTCTACGCGACTATTGAAGGTTGGCTATTTATGGATGCATTGTATTGGGCCGACTACACTCTTCTAACAATAGGCATCGGAAATCTTGCCCCTAAAACGCACCTTGGACGTAGCTTGTTATTTCCTTATGCATCTGCAGGCATCTTGAATACGGGTCTAGTCATCAGCTCGATGACATCATTTACAGAGGACTTGCGACAACTAAACATCAGATTCAAGATCGAGGAAGTGCACAGCGGTATGCAGGGGCGCCAGACTAGCCGCGGATGTGCTGGCAACATTCGCAGTGACAAAGAAAAGCAACCACTGCAAATGCCAGCTGATTCTCAGTACCCAAACAAGGCTGACCTCTTGAAGTTCCATCGCATCAAGCGTGACTTCTATAGAAGACATCGATGGATAACTTTGATCTGGTCCGGGCTAGCACTGTTCTTACTCTGGTTAGTCAGTGCAGCTATTTTCCGCCGCTCGGAGAGAAGCCAGAAGTGGACTTATTTTCAGGCCCTCTATTTCACATACACGTCTCTGACAACCATCGGCTACGGAGATCTTTACCCCACCAGCAATTTTGGAAAGGCATTTTTCGTGTTCTGGTCGCTTCTGGCTGTTCCTGTGATGACTAATCTTGTTGCTGCCATGGCCCAGTTGGGCTTTGAGAAGTTGACCTATTTGTTGCGCTATCTTTGGAGAACCCAAGTTTCCAGACTAGCCAGGATGTACCCCGACGCTCACCGCGAACGAGAGAGAAATAAATCAGTCCCAGGCCCAGGCATAGCCATCGACAGCAATAGCCGTGCCTCAGAACCCACGAACTCCATGCAGCCATCCACCGGTGTGCAAAGCAGTTCAACATATGAAAAGAAGGGGTCTGGTAAATCGCTCGTCCAAGCTGCTCAGCGCTCCCTTGCTCTCGGCGAGGAAATTCACAAGCTCATATTTACACTGCAAAGTTCGTCTACTACCCAGCTAGATCTGTACAGCGAGTGGGACAGGATCCTTCCACTGCTCCATCCTGAAAGCGATGGGTGTGACTTGCCGGAAACCACTTCTCTTGCAACGCTCTATGGCCATACTGGAACTGTGCTAGAATCCTTAGACACGGATAGACCGACCACAGACGTGAACAAGGAAATCCTGTGGATGCTCAAGTTCTTGACGGAAAAGGTCTGCTCGCACTTACGGGAGGGGCTGGCGAGAGAGCACAGTGGAAGGTCAAACACACTGTCCTAAGTCAGGGGAATATGGGTTCGTGGAGAGTCCTCTACAGATATTCAGAAGGCATTTAATTATGGATATCCTCTAAACCATTTAGGACACAAAACCGGAGTAGAGGGTTGCTCTATATAGCACTGCGGATAGTTACCAATGACTGGCAGCGTCTACTATACGATATTCTATTTACTGTTCTCCTAGCAGGTATATGGTTTACGTACTTCTTCAGCGCCATGAATCGAAAGAAGATACTTGTATTAGTAAGTCGATATCCTTCTCTCCACGTTATCTTAGTTTGGTTATATAGAAATAGATAATATAGCACTCCTCTTTGGACCATTCAAAGTTTGCTGTCCCTCGCAGCCATCTTCTCAATGTCAAAGAACTGGTAGTAATACTTAAGACATTGAGGATTTGAGAGTGTACTGGATGGTTGGACGTGTATTCCAGATATAATCTGTTTCACGGGCAGCTCGACCTTCTTGAAGTTGACAGTCACCTGTGTCATGAAGCATCAGCTCAGATCTTAACAAGGCAATTACATTGCTAGATGGGATCACTCACTGGAATTTCAGGCACAGGAAAAATATAAGATGGAACATGACGTGCGCTTAGACGTTGCCGAATAGCGGCTCTCACTCTGCTCACGAGATCCGCAGTAAACGTAGCTCCCTGCTTCATCTTGAGGAACAATACAACCCTTTCGTCGTTATCAGACGGTCTCCGTTGGCCCACACAGAGCGAGTCATCCACCTCATGGGCAAAGTCGCCCTCGATAACTTGGTAGATCTCCGAGGAGCCAAATCGTACGCCGGACGGATTGAGTACGCCATCCGCGCGGCCATGGAAAAACAGCTGTTTCGTGGTGGGGTGGATGGAGACAAAGTCGCCATGTGTCCAGACGCCTAATTGACACCCGGCTTCAGTTAGCCTACATATCTCCGACATTCGGGCAGCTTCTGGACTCGATCATACCGTCAAATTCAGCAAAGTAAGCTTTGTGATAACGCTTGTCACCGTCTTCGCCCCAGAAGCCAACTGGCATGTTAGGAAAGGCAGCAGTAGCCACCAGTTCCCCCGGCGTACCATCGGCAACGGGCACACCCTTGCCTCCGTCCCTGCCGATGGACGGATCATACACTTCAACTGGAATGCCAAGGGCCAATCCAGCGCAACCGCCCACATGAACTGGCACCAGACAATTCCCGATGCCAAAGGAGCCCGCAATGTCCGTGCCGCCGGACAGATTGTTCAGACGAACATGCGGCGGGAAGCCGTAATCGTAAAACCATTCAAAAAGGGCGTCAGGCAGGACCATTCCTGTGCTGGACACCACCTGCAGAGAGCGTAGGTCCGCCAATTCTCGGGGGCTGATCTTGCGTCGCTGCAGTTCGTACATGTACCGTGGGGAGATGCCCAGATGCGTGGCCCTTTCATGAAACTATCAGCTTGTCATGGATCTTGCGAGCGATGTGGAGCTTGATTCTTGGGAGGGGAATCAAAATCAGAAGCATATCGGAGCTTACCTCTCCTTTGCAGCCAATTCGATCAACATCGCGGCATGCGGCAGGAATGGATTCCCGTCATATAGGATAATGCGGGCTCCGAATAGAAGACCCTGGACCAAGGCCAGATACATAATCCAACCTGTGGTTGTATACTGCAGGATCACGCTGTCTGGGCCCATCTCTTGATGAAGGCTACCTTCTTTATGAGCGTTTAATAGCACACCCCCAACCGAGTGGACGATGCATTTTGGTTGCCCGGTCGTACCGGACGAATACACCACGAGGAACGGATCGCGAAATTGCACTCGTTCAAACTCCAGATGATCATGGGGTGCTGCAGCAAGGAAGTCGTCCAGTGTGCTAGCTCTGGGAACACCATTGAGATCGGACGGGCGAGCAGCGAATCGAGGCTGTGCAACAACCCCTTTGAACTCGGCGACTGCGTCCAGGCCTTTAACAATAGCCGCCATCTTTGCACGCAAATCCACCGTCTTCCCATTGTACACCGCGAAGTCATCCATGAACAGCCAAACAGGCTTGATCTGCAGCAGCCGGTCAAGGAGCCCCTTGGTCCCCATATCCGTGGCCATCGAGGAGAAAATAGCTCCAAGCGCTGTAGTCGCCAGAAAGACGAGCAACGTGTCGACGCTGTTGCTCGCACAAACGGCGATCCGGTCTCCACGGTTCACGCCATGAGCCTTCAGTGCCTGGACCAGACGCCCGGTCCGTTGGCGCAGTTCCCTCCAGGTCACATAGGTCGCTCCCTCGGCGCCGGCCTCGCGCACCTCGACGACAGCAACCTTGTCGTCTTCTTTCCCGCGCAGCCGGTCCCGTCCGTCAGTGGAGAAGAGTATGTTCTCTGCGAAATTCAACCGTACCCCATAGAACCAGTGAGGGATAGTGTCAATCCGGGCTGTTTCGTCCACTACTGCCTCGTACGAACCCTCATGTATGATTTGAAAGTATTTCCAGCAGTAGTTCCAGAACGAAGCGCGGTGCTGGATCGAGTAGTTGTGGAGGTCATGGAAGGTCTGCGAACTTGTCAATGACTTTGCTGCAAATTGCGACGTGATGTACCGTGACTTACAGGGAAGGATTTTCCAGTATGACTCTCCAGAGCCGCTCTGAAACGACCGATGTTTGTTGAAGATGGGGATGGATGTTCCCACAGCTTTCGAGGGACAGGTGCAGTAGCCATTGCTGTGGTGTGGGAAGTGATCGGGGTCAAAATAGGAGGCAAGTGTATACTAAAAATAAGCTAGAATCTACTAGCCTAGAAGAAATGGGCCTCCTAAGAAGACTTATACTCTGCCGGAGAAACCGTTCTCCTCGGCTCGTTACTCTATTGCTCCGCGGATCGATCTCGGCTGTGCTGGTATTCCTAACTTTAAAAAACGGATATACGGGACGTCTACATGTGGTAAAATTACTACTAGACTCCTACTATTGCAATTCTTCAATATTAGACTACTTGCAATCTAGATGAAGTGATGGTGCTTTACGGACATTCGCTCCTATATGTTGCGTGGATATCCCCACATCGGTTTCCCCGGTTGGGACGTAGTACCCACGGTGGGGTGCCACAGTCTGTCTACAGTCTTCATGATCGTTTGCAACCTTGCAATCAGATTTTCGGCTGGCTGGGTTTCCTTTCCCGGGTATTCTTTGCAGCGGTTCTACATGCTAACCAGCTACGACGCCAATATCACTCGAAAAGACATAATGTCTAACGCAATATATATCTAGTAGGGTTAGGCATTTTTACAGTGAGACACGGAAAACGGAGGGGCAGGATTTACATCTTATTGAGTCAATGTACAAGGCTACTAAACCTAAAACACATTATCTTGTTCCTCTATAAGCGCCAGCAATGTTGAAGCAAGACTCGAAGATAGCTTCCCATGGCGTATGCTCTGTAGCAAACCGACAATCCTGAAGACTTGATTCGCCGCATTTCGCTCAACTCGAAAGTTCCTCAATTCTGCCGCATTGATTTCGTCGACGTTCACTCCAACTAGATCCAATTCTGGAAAGTTACTTCCGATTATTGGTTTGTTGCTGCTATTCCCGAAATGCCCAAAACAGAACCAGATGATCCCGCAGTGGTAAAGACAGATGGGAACGTATAGTGGACACGCGGACCCAATAGACATTGACTCGAAGTAATTTCTGACGTAGACAGCGTGCACTAGAGATCTGGTCGCCTCGTGGGAATTTGCCCACGTGCGAGCGCATCCAATGGCTTCTTGAGCTGCCTCAGGCCCGTCTCGACCACAGGCTCGCTCAAGTACGTCAAGGCTCGAGTATAAGACAATGAAAGTCGAGTGCCAGAGAATCCGAAGTGGATAAGCCGAGACCTGACCAGGAGCGGAAGTAGACAGATGCGTCTCGTACCAAGTTATAAGCATTTCCTGGCACTTCTCGGTCAGATGAGGGGTGGTCGAGAAAGGCTCTTGGCGTTCACAGGCCATAGCACTGATGGACTCAAGTATGGCGCAGAGTTCGAAGTCACTCGTCCCGCCAGGCCTTTGCTCCTGCACCACATTTGGCAATGGGGTCCTGCTTCCAGATTTCTGAATCTGTTGATGAACAAGCTCCTTCCAAGCACTTGCATTATTTGCTGCAAACGCGTCATCTGAGGAGATGGTCGGTAGACGCGGAGTGGCAGGACGTAAATATGGTTCATGATGATGAATCTTTGCCAACTCAGCATCAAGGATGAAGATTCCGAGCACAGTGCTGTAAGAGATCAGCGAAGTTATACCGAGCGAGAAAAAGTGGCAGGTGATACCGTTTCCGCTCTTCTGCGGAGATCCAATGCTCCCATGCTGATTGCAATTGGCCGTTCGTCAGATTCGGAAGATTTTGCGGTAATGCTGGTGATGTTGCATGGTTAAGTAGTCGAACTCTGCGAGCCCACTTGACCACAGTCAGCGTTTCCAGGTGCTTCCGGGCGAGAAAAACTCGTTCACCAAAACTTACTGCAATTATACTTCCATGAAACGTCTCAATCCCCGCCAGGTCTTTAGGCCTCTACGGAAGCAAAGCAGGTGTAATATGTTAGTTTCCAAACATACTACATAGTTCAAAGGGTAGAGCTAGATGATAGTGTCACAGGCAGAGGACATACTCCCATAAGAAGACCAAATGTCTGGCCCAACAAGGCTGACTGAATGGCGACGATATTTGAATCTGAGCGTTGAGCGATCATAATGTCCCACTGCGTGGTACAACACTCAATTAACACCTTCACACAATAGGGATAGAGTTTGCAGCAGGGGTCATCTAACGCACCGAAGATAAAACCGCTTTTTGAAGTCTTTCAAACATACTAATCCCGTGTTCGATTGCTCGCTGAGAGCCGAGGAAGAGACTACCCACAGAGCAAATGGACAGCAGAAGAACGGCATTCTGCCTCGTCGGAAGGAAGGACGGCTCATGGATGATAGGAAAAATCGGATGGAAATGGGAGAAATAAGCTTGCAGACAGAGATGCTACGCAGGCGCCATAATATCGTCAGCCCTTACACCCTATCCTTCCATCTTTGTGGCTGGGTCGAAGGCGGCGTGCTAGCTCACACAGCATGAGGGGAAAATGGCTTACCAGAAAAGTGGTCGAGGGGAGAATTCCGGGTTGCACGCGCTGCTGGAGACGATTAGCGAGCTCGTGGCGATAAGACTCGTCAATTTGATTGCGGTCTTTCGTTGGGTCTGGGGTTATGACGCCCGATGTGGTCTGTCCACAGTGGGTATGCCATTTCTCTCTGATTGCATCCCCACTCAGCGCCAATCCTGCGTCTGTTGCATGCGGGCCGACGTTGAATGAGTCAGTAGGAATCGGGTCCTCGTCCGGCATCAGGTCAACAGGTAACAATTCTCCAGTAGTAGCTTGCAATAAGGACGAGTTCACGGCGTCCAAGTCAAAGTTCTCACCCATCAGCCAAGAAATCCACCCCGGTTCTAGCTCGACGCTGTGTATATCCGTCGAATTCAGGCCTCCGTTTACGTGGAAATCAGCACCTGGATTCAGATTTAACGAGATGGGGAAATCCAGTGCTGGAGAGGCATTTGTGTCACTTTCTACAGGCACAGTTGCCGTATCCACGCGTTGTGGAAGGGCATTAGAAGGCCTCCTTATGTTTGACCAGGTTGACAATGTTGGAATTGGCTGGGATGTCGCCGTAGTGAGCTCCTCTAAACCAGGAGCCCTTCCTTCCGGTGAATTCGCAACAACGCCCAATTCATCTCTGCGGCAATGGGATCGCGTATGGCGAAGTAATGTGTCCCTAAAGGCAGCAAGAGGCCATTATTAATGAAACTTCTTTTATTTAATTAAGTGCCACACTGACTGTCTGGTATAGACCCTTCCGCAAACCACGCAATGGAAGGGCTTTTCCTTGGTGTGGGATCTATAATGCCTCGCCAAATGTTCCGCCTTGGAGAACTCTTTGGAGCAAATCGGACACACGCGTTCTTGCTTGGACGTCTTGGGTCGCCGACGGCCGACTGGTCGGGAGAGAGCACTGGATTGCATTATCACCATGCACTTATGTGAATACAGGCCAACTGTAGATGTCTGAGTGATTATTGATGATGCTAGTGATGGTCGAAGGTGATACGTACAGGTGGCGGAAAGGGGCAGACTACGGATGTGGCAACTTCCGTCCCGCGATCGCACGATGCACATGCTATTGACTTTACTCCTGCATATACCTTACATTCGGCATAATGTTCTCTTCCTTACACGCAGCCTCTAACAAGCAGAAACATCTCTTTGTGTCAAGTACTGTACAACGGCTGTCCCTAGAATGCTAAGGGTAGCGGATCTTATTTTTGACCGATGCCACGCCTTCTATCTCGACCTCTACCACGTCTCCAGCTTTCAGAAATTCCTTGGTAAAGAATCCGACGCCAGCTGGGGTACCAGTCATGATCACTGTTCCCTTGCGAAGCGTCATGCCCCGTGAGAGGTGGCTAATAATCTGCCGAACACTCCAGATCATATCGTTTGTACTGGTCTGCTGTTTGACCTCCCCATTGACCCGGGTCACCAGACGGAGATCCTGAGGATCTGATATTTCACTGGCCGCAACAATGGTATGTCCAATTGGACCAAACTGATCAAAGGATTTGGAATAGCCAAATTGCATCCCGGACGCTTCGGGAAGCTGGAAATTCCGTGCGGACAGGTCATTTCCAGCCGTATAGCCCAGGACATAGTCCAATGCGTCCTCTTCCGAAATATTCTTTGCATCTCGTCCCACAACTACAGTCAGCTCGCCCTCATAGTCTAGCATTTCACGCGCGTCGGGGTGAATGTCAATGGTGTCAAAGGGGCCAGCTAGTGCATCAGCTGGCTTGACGAAGATAGGAGGGTATTTCGGGACATTCAGCTGATATCTTCTGTCAACAAGTCATGTACGACTGCGAGAAATTTCCCGAGTACATACCTTGGCTTCATTTACGTGGCTTTGGTAATTCAGGCCCACAAGTATGATGATTGGTGTACGTTCTATAGGGCATAGAAGCTGTCGGAGCGGTACTTGTCAGAACAAGAGACTTAGAATTGCCAATGGATGCGAGCCCCACTTTCTCAACGTGGATAATATCTTCAGTAGGCTGTAGCTTAGTGAAAGGATCACCAGTCAATCTTCTAACATTGTATGTGCCGCCGTTGACGCTGAGTAGATCGCCGAAGGAGACGCGGTCTCCAATGGCGAAACGAACCAATCGCTTGAAGGCCATTTCGAATTTGTGGGAGGAGTGTATGACGGTATAGTTAATATTTTGAAAAGTGCAATCAAATGTGAGCAGTGGACTTTGATGTTCCCTGAGAAAGCAAACTGGGTGTCACTACGCGGCGTTGCATTTATACCCTAAATCAAGAGGTACAAGCCGACAAGATAGGTCCCACCACACCGCCATGTTGAAGATGCGGGGCCTTTTCCTGGCTGCCTACTAGGAGTACGGAATATAAACAGTTCCAAGTCATGTCTACTGTTCAGTCCATATTGTTTTAAAGTAACAGTTCACATCACCTCAGGTTTCTCATATTGACAACCCGGCACAATCCTCATCCTCTCTATGGCAATCACGGAATCATCCATCAAGCCCAACCACGGGGCCTCTGTTCCCGATACGAGTGCCTCTCAGGAGCAAATATCTCAAGCTACATGGCTTCAATCCAGGGGCGTCAAGGTCGAAGACCGCGTTCGGTTGGCCAGGCTCTCTCATATGCGTTATCAGCATCCAGACTTGGATGCATTAGCCAATTTTATGCTGGGTTTGTCACCTCAAACTTCTAAGTCGAATGCAGACTAACCTTTTTAGATTTTGGAATGGTGATAGCAAGAAGAACCGAGAATGAAATCTGGTTCGGAGGCTACGGAATCGACCAATATGTCTACTATGCAACGAAAGGACCAAAGAGGTTCTTGGGAGGAGCATTCGCAGTCGACTCGAAAAACGAATTTGAGAAGTAAGACAATTCAGTGCCAGGATCCCGGAAGATAATGCTAATATTATGTGACTCCTTCCCTCATAGGGCTGCCAAAATACCCGGAGCATTTCCAGTCCAAGACATATCTGGAGCCCCGGGAGGAGGTCGGATGGTGACCATCGCCGATCCGGACGGCTTTCTCATTAATATCATATTTGGCCAAGAAGAAAGACGTGTAGATGCCTCTGCAGCTCCTACAGAGAAGTTGAAACTCAACTACCCGAACGAGAAGCAGAGGCTCCGTCAGTTTAATCGATTTAATCCTGGCCCCGCCGCGGTACATAAAGTCAGTGGACGTCCATTTTCTGTTTGAAATGCTCTTCTTTCCGTGCTGACGATTCCTGCTACTGTTAGTTGGGCCACTTTGGCTATTCCACGCAACGCTTCGAGGAGCTCCTCTCATTCTACACCTCCCATTTCAACATAGTTCCAACCGACCTGCTTTACATGGAACGCGACGGCCACAGAATGTATATGACGACATTTATGCACCTGGACTTAGGCAAAGAGCATACAGACCACCACTCCTTCTTTCTCGGCGCCAGCGAAACCAGCTCTCATGTGCATCACTGCTCCTTTGAGGTCTATGACTATGATACCCAACATCTAGGACATCAATGGTTGGCCAGGAAGGGCTATCGATCCGTCTGGGGCGTGGGCCGACATATTCTGGGATCCCAGATTTTTGACTACTGGTGGGATCCCGCAGGCAACATGGTCGAGCACTATGCCGATGGTGATCTTGTAAATGAGGATACGCCGATTGGGATTTTGCCTGCAGGCCATGAGTCTTTGGCAATTTGGGGACCTGAGGTTCCCCTGGCTTTCCTGCAGTAGTGTAACAGTGTGAAATTCACTGGTAATTTGATACTTGTAGTCATTTGGTAGCAAATGGTGGAGGCATTCTATGTAATATCCCTGTTAGATGATTGTTGTGAATCCAACATCCCATTTTCATGCGAACCTTCTCCAGGCTGCATATATGCGGGGCAGTATATAAAAGTGCGTCATGTAGTTAATTATACGAGACGTCAAATGCTGGACTTACCAGACGATACAGCGACGACGATTACCACTACCACTAATAGTGTAGCTATCTCAAGACCTATTCCATAGTCGGCGCATCTTCGGTTTCACCCCGTCTCAAACCAGTTTTACGGGAACTATGCGGGGACTATGTGGTGAGGCGGCCCCGTGTGGCAACAATGTCCCCGCCATCATAGATTGTCCCGTTTTGAAGAACTGCTGCACCATAAACATTGGTCCCACATTTCAGTAAACAAAAAAATCTGGGTGGTACTGCAGCATACAAAGGCCAACATATACATAAACAGAGGAGGGTGTGACATTCAGCCCTCAATAGTGGCTTTTCAACAATCTGAGAACCTACGCAGCCAATATGTCATCTGAGCAGGCATGGGAGACCACAGATGTCCTCATCTGCGGCTGCGGGCCAACAGGAGCTATGCTCTCTGGCTACCTTGACAGTATGGCGGTCCGGAATATCGTCCTGGAGAGAGAGGCCAACATCACGACGGACCCGAGAGGAATCGTTCTTGACGATGATGGCATCCGGTATTTGCAGGGCCTAGGTCTCTATGAGCATGTCTATACAGATATCGGTTCTTGTGAGTAGTAGATCCTACTTGGGGCGTTTGATTAGCAGTATTCCCTAATGATCGGTAGGTATTGAGAAGGTATTATTTTTGTCCGGAGAGCAAAAATGCTTGCACACAAAGCCCAGCTTCTGCTTTAATACTGCATCGGTAAGCATTTGACCTCGTGGTATGGTATTCCACTCTAACCGGCCAATAATCCAGTCCGAAGGGTATACGGGACATGTCGGAGTCGTAAGCCACAAACAACCTGTGCTTGAAAAACACCTCCGTTCCGTCATCAAAGGGTCTCGGTACTCGCAGTTGAGGAGCAGATGCACGTTGGAGTCAATTCAGGAAGACAAGGACTGGGTGTATGCGACCTATGTGGATTCTGAAGGAACCAATCGACACATCCGTGCTCGTTTCCTCGTTGGTGCGGACGGCAAGACGGGCTACGTGCGCAAGCAATATTTGGAACCACAGGGAATCAAAATGGACTGGGCCGAACAGTAAGTGTTCTTACTGGCATACTCTACATAGTGAAAACTTAAAGAACGATTCGGACTAATGAGCGGTTACAGGTGTCGTTATGAAGAAACCTGGGTTGCCTTGAACTGGGAAATCCGCCTGCCAACAACAGAAACGCACCCTGACTTCCCGCTATGGAAGATGGGGTATACGTCTGAAGAGGTGTACAACCTGTTCTTCCCAAAGGACTTTCGCTTCCTCTGCAACCCCCGTCGGCCAGCAGTCTGCGGCCGATTTGGCCAGAACAAGGACCGCCTTTGGAGGTTTGAATTCGTCGTTCAACCCGGTGAAGATCCGCAAGAGATGTCTGAGCCACACAAGATTCGCGAGATTGTATTCCCTTATCTTCGTCATCCTGGGAACCGCTATGGGTAAGTCCATGGTCAATATAGCAAATTGTTGAGCCAGTGAGCGTACTCATCTAACAGCCCAGTGCAGGCTAGACGCCGACGTCGAGTTTCCAAACGATTGCATCACAGTCCTTCGCTCCCGTCCATTTCGGTTCGCAGCAAGGAAGTGCAACAAATGGGCTATGGGTCGGGTCATCTTGTGCGGCGATGCCGCTCACGTCTTTCCTCCATGTAAGCTAGCCTTTCCCACCTATTCTAGCTCCATGCTGACCAGGGATTTGTCTGCAGTCGGCGGTCAGGGGATTGCTTCCGGATTTCGGGATGCCATCGCTCTTGCCTGGCGTCTGGCCATCCTAACTCGCTCACACTCCGCTCGATTAGACTACGACCAGGTCCTCGAGGGGTGGTACTCTGAACGCAGCCAGCAATTTCAAAAGTCACTCAACACAACCTTGCGAAACGGGCAGTTGGTCAACAGCACCAACTCACTGCAGAACTTCATCCGGGACTGGGCGCTTTGGGTCATGCAACTGATCCCTCCAGTCAAGCATCAATTAGAACTCGGACCCCGAAGAGAGGGCCCTGTCAGGTACATCCACTCGGCTGGTATGCCGTTTCTACCCTCCCTCCACGGTGGAGTCTGCTTTCCACAAACGTATTGCACTGAGTTAGCGAAGCTCGACAATCGGATTCGCTTTACTGATGACGTGATCTTTTCCAAAGAGAAGACGAAACTGTTCCAGATTGTTGTTCTGCTAAATAAACCAGCAGAGGCGATAGTGGCAACCAAAGAGCTGGACGGCATTGACGACCTTAGCGGTGGTCACTTGTCTGCTAAGGAGGCCACATTGCTGGTTCAGGCTAAGAAGTGTCTTCCTGGCGATAAGTACAGTCAACCTGCGGGCCTTTCCCTTTCTCTGTTCCGAACCGCCACTGCAGAGGAGTTCAAGCAGTCCGACTTGTGTGTTGGACGGCCGGAACCGAACGGCTACAATGACAGTACGATCTGGCAGGTCATGCCGGGAAAGAGATTCGTAGTTGTGAGGCATGATCGTTTTGTTTATGTCGCTTGTGCTACGAGTGCTGAATTAATTGGAGCTGCAAAAAGTTTGTTGGAGTGTCTGCCATTGAACTGACAGGTGACACACCTTGTTGCCCAGTATACCATAGTCTCCTACATAGCATTTAGCGTTTCAGCAGATGCAAAACACTCCTAAAATCCATCCCCGTTGTTCTATGCCACCCTTGGTTTCTTTCTTCCATTTAGCCATTGATTGCCGAAACGGTATCTTTTCTTGCCTGTCCCCGCCAGTAGTAGATAATGCCCGCATATTGATTAAGCACCATCTAAAAAGTACTTTACACTTACCAAAACACTGAGTCCTAATACGGTCGCCTACAATGTTAGCAACTCAATACCTGGCAGCTCTTTATGATGCCTGAATATAGAGGCGAAAACGTTAGTATTGGCTATCTGCACGATATTCCCGGAGTTACTGCGGAAGGTGGAATATATAACCCTCCATTCCTATCAATCAACGTCGATAGAGTATTCAATACCCAGCAGTTCAAGCGTATATGAGTCTAATACTGAGCTAATCAAGAAATCTATATCTGGAATAAAGACATGAGATTCTGGTTGTCAGACATCTGTGGAAGTAGTGGCATTGGTATGTCTGTCATGGACACAAGAATTAACAACGCACTTCCGGAGTTGGAACCCCCATCCGAAATTCGCTGCTCCGCGATAGACAACCCCAGATACGCCCTATTATGCGGAGACGGGGACATTAGACCGGACATTGCGATAGGTTTACTATGCTCATGAGACAGACACCGACAGACCGCCTAGCCCTTTAGTTGTGCCACTCCCAAAATCATGAGTAAGTGGCGTATTCCCACGAACTCAAAACGTTAAGAGTCTCTCGCATCACATTGTTGTGCCAGTCTCAAGCCAGGTCCAGACCCTCGCAGGGTAAAAGAATCTCTGGCTCGTCTCTGGGACTCCCGATGACAGGCCAGTCACGTTAAATGAACCGTGGCTAGCAGCGCGTATCGGGTGATCCTGCGGGGCTTATCCGGGATTATGAGAGATAAGCTACCAGCGGTTCGGAGATGGTATGTTTATGCGTCCTCCGATGGCCGAAGCTCACGGGAGCCCGTTGTGAGTGGTGTGCTTGTCTCCGTCCCGCATCGTGGGTTCAAGCATGAGGCGTTGCGGATGACAGCTCGCTGATGGGCTTTGGTGTTAGTATTTTAAAGCTACTGCGAGATGCCTCTGGCCCGAAGCTTAGGAAGGCCGCCTTCCTTGTGTATCTACTAAATGTGATAAAAGGTTATCCGTCAAAGCGCACTATTGTATGTGTTCTGATCCTGTATGCTGGCATGTGTCTGACTTTATTCAGGAATGATTTTGAGACAGAGGTATAATGGAGACATTACTCCTGCCAGACATTCCTTGCCATTCTGGAAGGCACATAGCTGGGGCTCGAAAAGGGATTCAGCTCAATTTTGCACTACTTGAGCCCGTTGTATTTTTGCAAGGGCACAGCACACGCAGCAGTGCTTACAAAGACAAGGCGGTCGTCGTCCGGGGGTCTCTACATATGAGAGTCACTGAACCGATCAAAATCAAGCGGATTTGCGTCTGCTTTCGAGGTCTCATTCAGTTAGAGATATCGGAATGTACGCCGTTGTCCCAACGTATGGTTGAAGCTCGCCATGATTTTTATATATGCTGACATATTTCCTCTACTGGACTAGTTGAGTTTGTGGGAAATAGAGATCTTATCACGTCCGGTATCACCTACTTCGACCGCGGGCAGACAACTCGAATAGGCAATGTCTACGGAGCAGACGTATGTCACATACCGGACCAATCTGGCACAGATACAGAGAGAAACCAACACCGCAAAAAGACTGCTCAAACGTTATGGAGGGGTCAATCTCTTCCTGAGTATAATACTGGCAGCTCACAGCAGCCTAGAATCTTGGGGGCCGTCAGCAAGAGCGCTATATTTCCCGTGGGTGATTATCTGTACAGCTTTGAATTCCTCCTGCACAACTCGCTTCCGGAGACCATCAAGACTGAGCTGATATCTACCCGATACTACCTGGAAGCTCTGATTGAACCGTCTGGACCATTTTGTTCAAAGGTGGTTTCTCAGCTTGATGTCCCGGTCATTCGACTGCCAGCCGAAAACTCCCTGGAGCTGATTGAGCCAATCATCTTCTCCCGCAAATGGCGTGAGCAGCTCGCTTACGATGTTTGCATTTTCGGAAGGTGTTTCCCTCTTGGCTCGCAGATACCAATCAGGGTAAAATTGACTCCGCTAGTCCGCCTACAGTGTCACTGGATCAGGGTATACGTGTCTCAGCACGTACAGCATCAGACAAAAGGAAAAACGAATCGCTTTTTGCAGCTGCCCACGAAAAAGGTGCTTCTGTTCGAAAAGCAGGCTGGGCTGGCAAGTTACAGCTCGTACCCAGGCAGCACCCTGCGAATCACGACAGACGAAGGCAGAGCAGGAACCCCCGGCATCCAAACCACGAATCTTCTAGGGGAAGAATCGGAAACCTCTGACATCAAACTTGACGTACAGCTGCCTCGATGCCCGGAAATGAGGATCAAAGAAAAAACACAACGGCTTCACTTCAGTACTAAGGGCGGCAGTCCTGAGGTGAATCATTGGATCCAGGTAAGAAACGGCGAGACGCTCTCTTGTGATGCGAGTACAAGAACAGTTTATATTCTTGACCCTGACTGCTGACTCGCAAGCAGATTGTTCTGTGTCTTTCGTTAGCAGACCAAGGCAGTATGGGCTCAAGCAAGGCTCGGCCTGTGGAGTTGACGATCGAGTCGCCTTTTACTATTCTGTCCTGCAAGGCTACCCCGGCAAATATCTATGTTCCACCATATGAGGTGGAAGGTGCTTTCGAAGTGATGGCCTCCCAAGAAGGCCAATGTGGGTGTGGCCCGAGTCCCCGGTCAATATCACTTGCGTCGAGGCACGAAGCAGAAGCACCTGAAGCCGAAGCCAGGGACAATTTGATGTCTGTTAAAGGACAATTCCCGAGAGATATTACGCAGCCGCTCAGCTTCGATAATATGTTAAGTGACATCAAGCAACCTGCTCGAGCCCATTTACCCGATTGGGGCCTTCCTTCTGATGAACTTCACCGGCGACCTGATCCCTATAGAAGCAGGCAATGGTATGGCGGATAGCTTTTGCTCATATCACCGGCTTGCCGATGCCTGATGATTATGTCAAATGCATGACCTTCCTTATCCGAGCGCTGCGTGTTTTTCCATTATTTTGGTGCAAGCTTTTGAGTTGCTGTGGCCAGACCCTGCTTGTTCTTATGAAACTCCTGTCTGGATAGAGAGTGAATATACCCTTGTTAGATCATACATTCTCTGGTAGTTCTTTCCTTCGAATCTGCATTTTTCTATTAAGATTCAGTCAAGGGTCTGTAAAGTTTCATTGTTTGCTAAATATTATTATTAGGTAGTCCATGGACGTGGCTGAATTAGAGTCTAGCCATCATTCTCTCAGGAGTCTGGCAACTTTTTCTCTAGGCATTTTGAGACCGACACATCGTGAAAGTATATTCACGAGGATATCACACCACCTCTGGCCATGAGGGGTGATCTACCAAACAGATGTGGGGAGCCCGTTAACATGGCCCTTAAGCCGCCCTCTTTCCGTGGTCTTCAGTCCTGTTGAACCATGGATGTCGTCTGGTTGAAGTACAACGGAGACTTAAACCGAGCTGGATCTCTAACCTGGGCACAAATGGCAGACTGGTTCGCCAGTCACAGAAAGAGTAAAGCAACCTTAGCCGAGCTGGCTGAAGTCTAAAATACTACATCTTTGGACAAGGTCGCGAAGGGCGCGTTTGGGCTCAGTCAGGGGAGTCCAGGTGATATGCGGACTTGGATGACATCATGAGTCTTAATCCCTCATTACTACCTTACCTGGAGGATGAATCTTGAAGAACTTGGGCTCTTGCGAACACTGATGATGATGTTGTCGAATTGATCCTGTATCTGATGGTGGAAACCTTCGAGATCCGATGCAGTCAGCCATGAATCCGCAAACTGCGCTGCGCGCATCCTGCGAACCATGCAGGAAGGCAAAGGTATGCAGGAAGCTGTGCCCCTTTTGAACTTTTCATACTGATTGTGGTATTCTACCCTAGGTGCGATGCAAGCGAGAAGGCGAGAGTTGTTCGCGGTGCAAGCAGCGAGAGCAGAAATGCGAGTTTTCGCCCTCCTCCCGGAAGCGAATCGTCAAGGGACAACCCAAGCCGCATCGGTGAGCGCAAAGAACCGTTGTGTGTCGAGTTATTGGACTGATACCAGGTCGTTCCACATAGCGATACTATGGATGAGATGAAAAACCGGCTTGAGAGGATGGAGTCGCTGTTGCTCGCAAGAAGGCGCTCATCAAGGGATGATAGCCGCGCCAGCTCCTCGTTAGTCGAAGGCAAGGAGGACGATGCATCATACTACTTGATGGATCGAATCGGCTTCTCCAGTTTCATTGGTACGACTATGCTCCTTCTCGTCTCCACGGCTGGGATCAAAATTCACAGTGTCCGTTAGGTTCTGCGTCCGGATTAGCTCTCTTATCACCGCGTGGTCTGCGGTGGGTTTCTAGCATCACACACTCGGCCGAGTTGTTGGACTTTGTTTCCACCAGAGCGCGGACACACATGCTGGGCTGGTCGGAGGAGATGATGAGCACATGGCAGCATCTCAAGCCAGACGATCAGACGCCCCTCCCACCAAAAGGATCCTCCATCCTCGCGGTGAACTGTCAGATCTTCCCTATCGGCCCTTCCTTGCGCCACTCATCATTAAGCTGACACTTGTGTAGACTTCTTTGCCTACGTAAACTCCACTCTACCCCTATTTGACCAAAGGAGGTTTATGGAACGTTTCAACTCGCAGTACTCGGAGGATCCTCCAACGAGCGTGGCCTGGTATGCCTCACTTAATGCCGTACTTGGTATCGGCGCACTCGTTTTGGAAGATGAGATAGGCGTGCCGTCGACAGTGCTACATCCCAGGCAGACAGAGGAAGGCGGGGGCCATGTATTGAGCTGTCTGCGGAATTGCTATTCTGTCTTCACCCAGCTCTCATATAGCTGCAGAGAGGTTATGGGCGTCCAGGCCCTGGTTGGAATGGTTTGTATGCTCTCTAGAAGCCATGGATGGCTGCAGCTGATGACATTCTCGTGCTATAGGCTATGATCCTTGAAACCTTGCTGGACGTGGAGGCCGGTTACATGGCCATTGGCTCGGCGGCACGACTCGCACTTGGCTTGGGGTTGAACCGCGATTGCAATGCAGAGTGCTCCACCGGCGAAGTTGACGAACGGCGCAACGTTTTCTGGGTTTTGTACGTCCTAGATCGAGGTCTGAGTTTTCGGCTCGGACGTCCACCAACAATCCCTGAAGAAGACATCCAAATCAGCGAGCCAGCATCCGGCAAATTCGCACACTTGGTGAGGCTAATCAGAATTGAGAGCGAAATCTATACCAGGCTTTACTCCGTCCGCGCTCGGGACCCAGATCGCCGCTCCGAAAGGCTTGCAGCTGAGGATGAGCTGTATCAGAAGCTGCTTGCCTGGCAATATTCCTTGCCTTACGGAGAGCTGCGGCCAGGTCAGGTCCTCCATTGCCCCAATCCAGAGCAGCTTCCGTCCACTTTTACCCTGCACGCTGAGTTCTACAATTGTCAGTTAATGCTCTGGCACTGGGAAATCGGCGCTGAGACATCTTCCTCCCCAGAAGACCCTCGTTGGTCTTCCAAGTGCAGGGCATGTTTGGCCGCCGCGAGGGATACAGTCAAGCTACTTGATAGTTTACGAGAAGGTGGTGAATTGTTTCGCAATAACCTGGCGCGGTATGTTCTCTTCACCCCTATGGCGATTCTGCCCGGCTTGGAACTAACAGTGCTGACCTCGCAAAAGCCGTCTGTCATACTATCCCCTTTGTGCCTTTCTGAGACTCTTCATCAACATCCTCTTGAACCCGCACGATCCTAGCGCCTTCGCAGATCTAGACTGGCTTCGAGTCGTGCTAAATACAATGTCCGGACCTCTGCTGACAAGCAGCTCGCCGTTGGCTCTGCTGTTGTTTGAAATAATTCAGAAACTGACGAAAACTGCCAATGACTTTATTGTCCGCACTCTATCGGGTGAAGCGAACGAAACAGGCCCGCCGCGCGATTTCGCATCCCCCGACGTTACAGGCCATCAAGTCTCGTCCACCATCGGCTCTGCATTCGGCATCCCTAGAGACGATCACACATTAGGCAGCTGGTGTCCGCACCTTCCTCCACCCTTCTCGGAATATGCGGTGCTCTCTTATGGCGACCATGCTCCAACCCAAGAACAGCGACCACTGGAAAAGACGAGCCAGTTTCTTTCACACTCAGACATAGGCGCATCAGATACCCTGTTCCCTGGGTATGAGAGCGTTTCTAGCGAGGTACATGGTGTCGATTCAGGTCTTTCGTCCCCATCGCTCCACCGTGGCTGGCAAAACCCTCCCACGCTGCCAGATGGCTTTAGTAGCCTCAGTCCTCCGTCGTGAATTCAAATAAAGACAGCTGATTTTCCCATGGCTTAATAACGGATCAAGAATGCCCTATCCATCTCCTTGTTTATGGACCTTGTCCAGCGTTCAGAGGTCGATGCCGGCAATTGTAGTTATTGAGAATAAAGGAGGCCTCTTCGGCAACCATTAATTAGCCCAGACAGCAAATAAAGAAACATGAAACCTCCATTGAGGCGTATTCAAGCTATCTAGACCAATTAATGCCTTGATTATCAGTCTGGCGTAGCCGTTCTTGAATGGGGTGTGTAGTGTTGCCTAAGTGCGGTCTCCCCACAGGGCGGACTGTGTACCCGGTTGTCATCAACGAATTTATGTATCTCTAACGGTCAGAAAGTAAAGAGGAAGGATTTTGTGCCATTTGTCCATCGTTTTCACGGACTCGACACCTTCTAACTATGCGAGCAGGCCTGGCCGGAGTATACTGAACAATTTTAGAGGCTTTCCGCGTACTTTTGTAGTAGACATGCCGTCTGGAGCACTGATCTACCTAATGAGACCTACCAATATAGTAGAACATGTCCTAGGGTACCCTGCCTATTGTTAACTACATGTGGCCCACAACACAACGCTTATTCGGCAGAAGAGCCAGACAATACGCATGTTCTTTTCTCGCAGTTACCCCAAAGTACCCCGGGTCTTGTTAGTTGCGTGAGCCAAAAGGCAGCTTATTCAGCGGAAGGCGGACTAGAAACATGCAGGTTCTGGTCTCGCAGTTGCATATGGGTCATTTTTGTGGGTCGTACGGGGCCAATTCCACATCGGTAAAACTCCAAGGTGCTTGTTGGCAAGAGTGCATGGAGATATGACAATAGAGATTCAAAGCACTGGTCAAGATATGATGGGTTAACATCTTCATAGAAGCCTTGAAAGTTATGCTGGAACTCGGCTGATTGACCATCCTACCACGATATAGGACAGGCTCTATGGAATGAACCAGTAGCACTCTGCAAGATGGGCGGTATGAGCTTATTTGGTCACCATGGGTCATTTCGAAAGCATAAAGGCTATATATACTTGTTGCGTTAGTAGCGTGTGGAATTTTTCTGGAGTCCGAAAGATATTTCAGGACGCTGAGGATGCCAACAGATGATCGCTTCACATTAAAACTCCGTCTAGCAGCTGATAAGCAATGTGCATTCCAGTTCTAGCCTCGTAGTCGAGGTCGTTATGCGCTTGAACGCGAATCGATCCACTTAGGAGACAGTATTGAGCACACCAAGTGGGGTGATGTACTAGACGGCAAGATGCAATAGAAGAAGCTGTTTTTCTTCTCATCCGCAGCCCTCCGACATAAGTGAAGTCGAGGAAATGGGATAAATGCATACACCTTCCCTGAGCTATAAAAGGGCGGCGAATGCCTGCACCGGGTCGTTCCTGCCATCAAAGAAGCCCAAGAATCCTATAAAATCCTGCAAGATAAATCATGGGAAGTTTACCAGAATCTACTATCATGGACCGCTATCCCCCCAGCGGGCTCTCCATTCTCATAGTGGGTGGTGGCATCGGCGGTCTGACCTTTGCCATTGAGGGGTATCGCAAGGGTCATGAGGTCCGGGTTCTGGAGAAACGGCCAAATTTCGAGGGCTATGGTAAGTTACCATCTAATGTATACACTACACTACCTTATCTCACAGTTCTCCCTTGACAGGTGACATACTCCTGATAGAATGTAACGCGCTTCATACAGTCAAGAACTGGCCTGGTTTCTTCAAGAGACTAGAGGCAATATTGTACAAAACCCAGCGAAACGTGAAAAAGTTCGACGGAACTTGGATTGGGAGCTGGCCTATTGGTGACGGGGAAAATCGATCTGCGGCCCTTAACCGTTCCGAGCTTCATGGCCTGCTTTGGGACTATGTGCAGGAACTGGGTATCAAAGTGGACTTCGACAAATGGGTGGATGAATACTTTGAGACTGACACCCATGGAGGCGTGGTTCTAGCGGATGGACAGAGGCTCACGGCGGATATCGTCGTCGCTGCTGATGGTGTTGGATCAAAGTCATGGCCATTGATCCTGGGCCAAAAGGACAAGCCTACCAGCTCCGGCTTCGCCTGCTATAGGGAGACTTTCCCGGCAGGTCCAGCCCTGCAGAACCCGATCATTGCAAAGGAGTTCAAGGGACATGCGGATCGCGTTTCACTGCACATAGGCCCTGGAGCGCATATGGTTGTCGGCAAAACGGAGAAGCAGATCTGCTATATCTTGACACGTAGGGTATGTCTGATAAATCTGTTGTCAGGAAGATGACTGACTAATTGATTCCGACCCTGTAGGACGACCACAATGCCGAGGAGAGCTGGGACAAGACTGTGTCTACAGATACTGCTCTGCAATACATTGATGGCTGGGAACCCTTCTTAACGGAGATTCTCAAGGCAACCCCAGGTCACCGTTGCACTGACTGGAAGTTGTTGTGGCGTAACCGCAACCAAATTGGGCTTCACCTAATGCTCGTGTCATCCAGCTTGGAGATGCCGCGCATTCATTCTTGCCCACATCCGGAAGTGGAGCGGCAATGGCCATGGAGGATGCGTAGCCTCTGGCGACCTGCCTGCAGTTAGGCGGGAAGTCCAATGCTCCCTTCGCTGTAAGGATCCATAACCATCTAAGGCAGGTGTTTATCTCAGACAAATTACAAGTGAGCAAATGTGCTTATGTTGTGCAGGTTTGAGCGCGTGTTATGTGCCCAGAAAATGGGCTTTCACCACCGAGAAAAGTTCCACAACACAGACTGGGACGAGGTTGCAAGGAATCCGGACATCTTCAGCAAGACTACTGCGAACTGGATCATGCGCCACAACCCCGAGCAGTATGCATATAACAACTACGCTCGTTGTGCTCGCCATATTCTTGAAGGGGAGGCGTTCCACAACAACAATATCCCACCAGGCTATAGATACGAGCCGTGGACTATTAAGGAGCTAATGGAGACTTCGGACAGGCATGAGCCGGTCGTTGACGAAGGTGACTGGTCTTGATAGTTGTCTTGTTCATTTGTATGAAGTATTTGTACCTCAATCAAAATTCGATTGGCCCCAGATGCCGTTACACACAAAGCTCGATATTCAGAAGAATAGCACATTATGGCATATTAAATCCAGTCCAGTCCTCGGACTGCTGGATATTGTCATCCATAACACTTGCCCCAGTCCAATCATAATCCAGCCATACATCCTATACGTAGTGACCGTGTGGTTGGCTACGCCCCTGGAATCAGCAAGTCTGTCAGCGACCAGGCGCAAAGCGTATTTCAACTTTACACTGTCCTGCCTGAGGACACTGTCTCCAAGATTCTCAATGATATAACTTACGAGACGGCAGTGGCACGGCCCCTCGGGTTTATGACTACGGCCACCAGTTTGTTCCACGATGGGCAGCTACATCTACCCCTTCCTCATCCTGTCAAGCCAAAACCTAATGGTAAAACGGTGATCATCTGGGGAGGATCGACTAGTGTGGTTCTCAACGCTGTTCAGTTGGCTGTTGCGGCTGGGTACGAGGTCTTTACAACCTGTTCACCTCGGAATTTCTAGCTCCTGGAAAGGATGGGTGCATTGCGGGTGTTCGATTACAATAGCCTTACCGTTGTCCACGATATCATTGCCGATATGAAGGGTAAAACGACGGCTGGAGCAGTCGCTATTGGTGTGACGGCTGCCAACGCCTTGTTTGATATCTCGACAAGTGCGAAGGAGGCAATAAATTCATCTCAATGGCCAGCTACCCCGTCCCGCAGAAGCTGCCGAGATTCTTTGGAACGCCATATACAATCCTGTACTTTCTGTGGTCGATGATTTCGTGCCATCAAGAGTCGCACCAGGGGCATTGAGTACAAAATGGTTGTCATCGAACCGATACTCAGCAATGGTATTGGCAAAGCAGTGTGGAAGTTCCTGAGCGAGGCCCTTGAGAATCGTAGCTTTGTACCGGCGCCTGAACCTAAAGTTGTTGGGAATGGACTGGACCAGCTTCAACATGCGATGGAAGTTCAGAAGAACGGGGTAAGTGCGAAGAAGATTGTTGTTACACTGTAGATAGGGTCGCGAGTGGCCGTTGGTTCTGTATCCACTATTCTATTATAATTTCTTGAGGTTCTGTCTTTTATATTTTGTAGTGTCTTTGCCCTGTTTTTCATCCAAATTGATATCCCTGCTGTAGTAGACGATGTCATGGATCAGAAGGATACTGTGAAGCATCCTACAGTACTTCATCTGCTACATCCGTATAATTAGACTTATAACGTTATGAGCCCTAACTTGACTTAGTAATTGCTTGCTTGGCTCAATGGAAGAACGATGCACAAAAAGGTGTCGTAGAGACCTTCTCACATTTGTCAGCACTAGCTATAAGTTATAAATAGTTATTAGCAGTATGTTGCTATGGATGGCACAACGTCGTCGCCCCTCCCATTATACTGATTGGCTACATGCAAAGACCCGCCTTACTCCGCCGGCCCACTTTTATCCGCCATGACACATAAGCTTCAAGCTGAAAAGACCCCCCGATCATACCTTCAGAATGTTCATCGTCTCCATTCTGTTCCATTCTAGCTGTAGAAGTCGCAATGTCACTCCGCAAAACTTCCTGTCGAGCATGTGTGGCTGCTAAGCGTCGGTGTAGCCATGAGGTGCCCAGTTGCTCTCGCTGTTGCAAGAAATCTATTGCGTGTCACTATCCATATCCGCCTCCGCAAGCTAAGGGCGATCAGACTCCAGCACTCGATGCGGATATAGGGTCCAGAGTTGAGATATGTCCGACTGCCTCGGGGAGCCGTGAACTTTCCCCGGTGGAGAACCGGATAGAACAATCCATGATCGCCAACCAAACAGATGACATTCTTAACCCAATGTGGTCCCCAGAGGACCCCATGACTTTTAGTCAAGCCTGGGACTTTCCTCAAGCGGCGTCAGGCAGGGTTTGCCTTCCCAGCTCAGCAGATACTTTTACGACAACATTATTGCGACTCGAACGCCGAGTCTTGGAGTTTTGGCCCCGTGTTCATGACAGTGAATCCTGGGGGTTTTGCATGAGGACGTTTCTCAGTTACGTTGACCATTTCTTGGATACTGGTGCAATGCCATTTCTAAGGCAACTGCTGGATCGCACGTCAGATCTTCCGCCTCTTCTGCGTGAAGCGTATGGGGTATGTGCAGCATATCGTGCATGCAAGCCCGCAAAAAAGCCCTTCTACCACCAACTCCTGAACGCAGGCGTCAATAACATGAGCCGAAGTACCCCAACGCACGCTGACTTGCAAGGTCAGTTGGACCGTGTTCAAGCCTTGGTTCTCTATTATATCATATACTTGGCTGGTGGCATCAGCGACAAGCCGCTCCTTCGACAACTAGACCGTATGTTGGCGCAGGGCACTGCCGACTTAGAGCGGATGGAACTAGCAAGTCGCCAGACAGCTCGATACATGACACAATTGGACTCTCATTTGCCTGGAAGTCATCTGAATGACTGGGTGCTCTGCGAAAGTGCTCGTCGACTGATCATGATTTCGTATCTGGTGCGCGCTGTTCACTCCGTGGTCCAGTTCCAGAGATGCGACTTTATCAAATACCTGGGGGCCCTGCCGGTTTCGACTAAATCATACGCGGAGCTTTGCTGGGAGGATTTCATCTATGAAACGGAGCAAAGGCCGGCGCAATCAATCCCTGGAGTTATTTCGTATGAGGAATTTGTGAGTGACTGGGAAAATGGGGGACTTGTTCAATTGGATGAGTTCAGGCACCTGTTGCTAGTGGCATGTAAAGGGTTGGGCTCCATACAAGAAAGAGCATCGAAAGAGCTGGTTGGGACCTTTGATGATCTCGGGCATACTTAGCATTCTTGAGTAAATAGTTGCATATATCCAATTGCAGATTTCCGCGTTGGACTAGATATGACTGGGCTCGATCCGCAGATTTGCTCGAGCCTGATATCAGGCTGCAGGAAACCTCAGTAAGTTCAGCATAAGCAGTGCGGCAAATAGTGGGTCCCAATTTCCAACCTTTGTGGAGAAATATAGCCAATCTGACCCTTTGTCAGATGAATATGATAAGCAATTGCGGGAAAGAGTGGATCTTTTACCCGTTATCAGGTCACAGTATGTGCCAGTTTGTATGCCAGTTCCCAGAGACTTACCATAATGACGGTTGGGAGCAGAATACACACGATCCAAATGAGTAACCCAAAACTAATTAATACACAAAAAGGCACGCCTGAAAGTATATAAAGGCGTGTATTCGACGCTGAATTGCATGGTCAGAAATTCAGAGATGTGTCTGTTCAATAAAAGACTTCAAACCATGCAATCTTCCCAGGCAGCCGTCATCACCCGCTCATTGGGTTATGCTGACTTCATCACCAACTGGCCCATCCCATCCCTCCGCGACGATGACATTCTCGTGCGCACCGGTGCCGTGGCCCTGAATCCAATCGACTGGATGCTCCTTGATAGTACCCCATCCCCCCACGCAATCATGGGCCATGACTATGCGGGAACTGTTGTGGCAGTTGGAGACTCCGTCCGTGAACTGTTCAAGATTGGTGACCGCGTGTGTGGACTTGTCAAGGGGGCAGACAATACCCGCCCCGAGAGCGGTACCTTTGCAGAATATATTGTAGCAAAAGCGGCGATTCAGATGAAGATCCCAGACGGCGTCAGCTTTGAGGATGCGGCCACTTTAGGAGTGGGAGCAATTACAGCTGGGCAGTGTTTGTTCGGACCATCTTGTCTCAAACTGCAATGGCCGGAAAATGAAAGTAATGTTGAGAAGCGAGAACCGATTCTAGTATATGGAGGAGCCACATCAGCCGGGAGCTGGATTATTCAGTTTGCTAAAATGTAAGGCCATTTTCTTTCTATTTCTAAGGCATGCCACTAATTGCTCACAGGGCCGGGTACACCGTTCTCACAACATGTTCGCCAAACAACTTTGATCTGGTTCGCCAATACGGAGCAGATGTAGTCTTCGATTATCTCGATCCTATGTGCGCCCGAAAGATCCGCGAGCACACCAACAATACCCTCAGAGTCGTCTGCGATGCTGTGGCAACTCAGGAGTCTGTGCAGATTTGTGAAGCGACTATCGGTGACGCAGGAGGCCTGTATCACTCCTTGCTCCCAGTGCAAACTGCGCGCCCAGACGTGGAGGCCACTTTCTCTAACTCCTGTACGGCGATTGGCGAACCGTTTGAGTATGGCCCTGATCGCATGGTAATCCCCAGCGTGCCAGCAGAGTTCGAGTTTGCCAAGAAATGGGCAGGGATCGTGAGCACGCTGTGGTCTCAGGGAAAGATCCGGACACTGGTCGTTGAAAAGCGTGACGGGGGACTGAGGAAGGTTTTGGATGGCCTGAGAGATTTGAAGAATCGTTCTGTTAGGGCTCGGAAGCTGGTGTACCTTGTTTCTGAGACTTAGGCGTTGGTTCACATATCGATTCATGGGCTGGCTTTTATGCAAAGAAGAAATACTATTGCTTGGCTTTTCTCTATATGACATTTCATATAAAGCAAGGAGTCACAAGCTGTACAATGGCTCGACATTGTCAATATGTTTGGAGAAAGGGTAACAAAGAATAGGATAGCAGAGCGCACGAAGCCACGTGGAAGCGGCCTCTAATATAAGCATGCTGGATTGGCCCTAGGTAGGTGGTGTGTGTGGTAGCAGTGGCAGCAGTTTTGTGGGAGATAATCATGGTAAAAAATTTGGTTTGGCCGATTTGCACAGATAGGCCGTCGTGCTTTGTGTTAAAAGGATAGTTTATTACGGTGGATGGAGTGTCCGAGCACATTCCTTTACTTGGTAGATTTGATGGTAGATTGAAGGGTAGACTTCATGGTAATTTGGAGGGTAGATTTGGATGGTAGATTTGGATGGTAGATTTGGATGGTAGATTAGGAGGGTAGGTAGACTGGAGGGTACAGGTAGACTTCATGGTAGTTTGGATAATAGAATTCTACCAAGATGCAGGGATTATCTCTCTCAGAATTCTGCCAAGGTACAGGGATTATCTCAGACAGTTGATAGTTCCAGCACATCCCTGCACTTTGGTAGAATTCTGAGAGAGATAATCCCTGCATCTTGGTAGAATTTCGAGAGAGATAATCCCTGCATCTTGGTAGAATTCTGAGAGAGATAATCCTTGCGTCTTGGTAGAATTCTATTATCCAAATTACCATGAAGTCTACCTGTACCCTCCAATCTACCTACCCTCCAAATCTACCATCCAAATTACCATGAAGTCTACCATCGAGTCTACCCATCAAACCTACCCATCAATTCTACCAAGAATCTTACAATTTCAAAGATGTTGTCCCACGCTAACTCAAGACAAGGAGTATATAAAAATGGCGTTTCCGTGAGCGATACTCCCCTCTACTCTACCGATTTATGTCACATTGAGTTTCCACAACTGTCCTCTCCCACGACCTTCGTATCTCCTTCCATAATGGCATTGTCGGCAGAGGCAGTCATAGCTCTGATAGCTCTTTTGATCGCTTGTGTTCCGGGTGTACCATTTATCCTCCGCCGTCACAACACGTGCCGTCTGTTGAGGAATCGAGCCGAAGGAGCAGAAATTCCACTGTCTGGTATGCATGATCATGTTCTGTGGTATCCAATGCTCCAAACCCCGTCCATTCATGTCTATGTGGCAGCGCAGGGGTCCATAATTACACATAGTACCTAGGTTTCTGACCTCTTGGTGCCTACTATCTAGATCTCAACCGCTCGGATAGTCCCGAAGAACACCAGATGGACATTGTCCCCCAGAGTCAACCACCGGTCGCGATCTTGGGAGATAATGGATCCCGTAATCCAGGCCACCGCCCCCCATCATCTAATCCTGAGCGCCCAAATGAGACATCATCAAGACAGGAGTCCTGGACATCTCCGTTACAGATACAGGCTCAAATCATAATTGTCAGTGGAGCGAGGTCCTCTAATACCAAACAAACAAGCTTTCGCTAATTCATTCGCAACCGATTTTCCAGATCTCTAACAGTGATCACTCCGAAAGCGAGCCTTTAATCAATGACGATTCTGGCCGCCCTTCATACAACGAACAAGAGCCTGTGGGAAGGGATGATGTATAAACCCCATCGATAATGCCCCACCTTCGATCATAAATTTTAGCAGTGGGGAGAGCGCTTTCTTTCATCCTCTGGATTCTTTGACTCGTTTAAAATGTTCAGAACAACGATGTTCTGATGTTTTTCTCTTTCATTTCTGAGAAACTGTACACAAACTGGAAAGGTTTTGATGTGGTTATGGTTTTGTTCTATTGTGTTCTGTTTGCGTCGATATAAAGGTATAGATTCTGTTGTGCTGTATGGTTGACTTTAAGATTGTGCTCCTTTTCGCTCAAGTATCCTTCTATTGGACTGGTGTTAAGCAATACACACCGGAGAGCAGAACGAGTGACACGCCAAATGCATAGGGTATCCGTAAATTTTCACTCTTCATAATCGCTATTCCTCCTCGTCCGACCATTCATCGGGGAGCTTCCACAACAGGTCCGGATAGTTATCTGGGAAGTCGATGTCCTCTGCGTTGGGAATACATTCATCCACGCCATGTATCTCCTTCAGCGAAGTTGAACCAGAGTCCACCAGCGCCTTGAGGGCATCCATCTGAGCGTCATTACGCTTCCTTTTGCCCTTCTCGTATCCCCGGATGCACAGGTACTCCAGATTTGGCGGCAGATACTCCACCAAAGGCACGATCTTGTTGTCATTCTCGTTGTTCACTCCTGTGGCAAAGTACAACAGAAAGTATACCCCAATACTAAGGCTTTTCAAGGCCTCAAAGTCTTTGAGACACCCCCGCTGGTCCCAGAATGAGTTTGGGGGTGATTCAATCCAATAAGCTTGTGCCTCGGCTCGTCCATCTTCCTCGTCGAATTCGAAGTCTCCTGGACCACGATAGACGGTGCTAAATATGTGTGATTCGACGTCGAGATCTAATTTTTCTAGCGTGGTTTTGTGTTCCAGGACGCACAGAAAAAATGTTTTCGGGTTGAAGGTCGGCTGTGTACCATTGACCGAACCCCTGCCACCGATCGAATACTCGAATTCCTTCAAGGCTCTGCACGAACGGATTACAGGCGTCAGATAGCTTGTAGCTACAGCTGAGTGATGGATCGCGATGCAAGACACATTGGAACATTTGGGTCCGAGTGCCGGCAGCACGTTGTCATCCTCCGCCAGAGCATCAGTACCGATCCATTCAAGGGAAGGAAGGTTGCGGAGAATGGCCAAGCATCCGATGAAGTCCATGGCCACATACAGCCGCCCGTCGCCAGAATGGTCATCCCCCAGGTTGATCATGTACACTCTGCGCAGATTCTGCAGGTACGGCTTGTGAACTGGGTTTTCGTTTATCTCTCTGAGCAGCAGGTCCAGGGCGCACTCGGAGTGCATAAAAGAATCTTCCGAGTCCTCGTCAAAGTCAGTGTAAAAAGTCGGCATCATGGCCATCGACTCGACGTTGGGTGACACCGAGACGAGTAGGGCCGTCAACGCTTGTGTGACATAGGTCGCGGGGGCACGGCTGTCACTGTTCATGCATCAATCCAGAGATCGCCATAGAGCACTGTTTTCATCTCACCTAAACGTGCCGTGAAGACGATCCCCCACCACCGATTCCCGCACCAACATATTGAGCACGCGCTCTTGTAGAGCTCCCGTGAACCCTGCCCTCTGCGTGGCATTTCGCAGCAGACGCATATCATACTCACTTAGTTTCGGCTCATAAGGCTTCACGTCGTACTGGCGGTACCGCGAAATAGTCTGTCTATATTCAATATGACGCACGTAGCGACCCAAACTGCGCTTTCTCAAAATATCCATGAGCATCTGGAACGCGCGGTCAAGATCAGAAATCCTCGGTGTGATGCGCACACGACGGTATTTCTTCCGATTGGACATGTCGCAGAGAGAATGCAAAGCTTTGCATTGTGAAGAGAGAGCGGCCACATCGCGATTCGACTCGAGGTGGAAGATTATCCGATGATGGATTTCTGAAGGTAGACCGGCGAAACAAAGCATTTTGTTTGTTGTTCACGCATTTCCAGTTGAATCAGGTACCGCGGAAATTGCCCATTAACTGGGGAATTGAGCCCCTTTAAGCGCCGGTTTTAGCGTCTCTAACGGCTTCAGCGTGGATATCCCGATGGTGGCTGCACTGCCTGGGTCGCAGGGCTTGGCATTGGGGCTGAAAGTGCAGTGGAGATTGGGGGGTTTTGTGATGATATCGAGTCAAGCTACGTAGTGGCCCGGTACATAGAAACTAATAGGAAAAGCCAGTATCTATGATTGGTCGGCTTTAGGTTAGGAAATATGAACGAGATATATTTCCCGTCATCTACCTGACAATGTAAAGAGCGACATCAATGTTACTGGGGGTGCCTCTATCAACACGGAATGCAATAATGTCTCCAAAGTGTGTTTCGACGTAACTTGTCACAGTCAGGAGGCATTTGTCAATAACCAGCTTGTGAAGTCCACTCTCGTTCACAAGGTTCCAGAGAATTCTTGCCGTCAAAAGATAGGCTTTGGTCATAGCAGAAGCACCGGGTCAACCGCTCAGCTTCGGAAGAGATAAATTGCCAGGATGAAGGCCTGCTTGTTGCTCTGCAGTGTATGTCCTTGAGCCTGGCATTCCTGGGTCCTGGGATAGTCTCCTTGGTGACAGATTTTCTCCATTCGGAAGGCGTTGCTAGAACGTCAAGTGGGATATGCTTTTGTGTCATTTTGTCTCGTCTGCGACCTGATTCTTGACATGGAATTACTGTGGGAAGGCTGAGAGTTTAGGGTTAAGTGTGAATATCCCCTTCCCTCAGGGTTGGATAGAAGTCTTCTGACATAGGTTTGCCGTTCCTACAGGACATTCACTGCTTCACGGAACTCATCTGAAAGTTCAAAACATGGCTCATCTAGAGGTCCCGCTATACGAGATGATTTATTGAATGAAAGCTCCAGGTCCTTTTTGCCAAGGTCTATTCAACCGGGGCGAATGGGCAAGCGACGAATCTGACCAGCCAAGGAGGTTGTTTCCCTTAGATATTCAGTGGCCCTGCTCTTTTATGGGGACTGATGACGTCGGACTGAGGAGTTGTAAGATAGGGCATGGTCTTGTGGCTACTCAAGAATCCCGCCAGTTTATAACTCCCGTCTTCCAACAATCCATCGAAAGACGATCCAGCGACACAAGCTTCAGTTAACAAGTAAAAGAGATTCGAGTTTGCTATATAATTGAATTGAACAGACGGCATCCACATGCTACCTCACTCAGCGTCAAGTTTCGCTTCGTGCAGTTGGCTGGAAGGTTTCCCACCAGTAGACCTAGTTTCTACGGATACAAAGGACTGGCTAGCTAAAAGTAGGGGAAGGCTCGCGCTCAGCCCATACGCTACCACA